CCCCCCCCCCCCCTGCCCCTATGTAAAGCAGCGTAACACTGCAACGAATCCCTCCTCCCCTCTTTAGCGTTACGCAACTGAACAACACCTTGGGGGGAAAATGTCTGAACGGTTTTGGCGCTAGTGTTGACCACAGACAGATGTTTTGCCGTCGATTGTATTTTTTGCTATCAAGGGCCCACAAAACCTTGATTCTGGCTACACCACGCATTAGAGGAAGTAATTTACTACATTTAGGAACTGGATTTATCCGCATATTTGTTACCAGGACCTGATATTAAGTGCTTTTCTGTTGAAAATTCTTCGTTTTATCCGTCATTATGGTGCACTATTGCAATATTTTACGAGATAATATACTATTACATGACCCTTAAAAAATCTTACAAAAAACAAAAACAACTTAAGAGAGTATTTTCTACTTATGGAAATTGGTTCTAGATCAAACTCGTTTTATATTAAGATTTTTAATTTAAGTTTTTTTAAAAATGTATTACGAAGAAAGTAAATTTTTTAACTGCCAACAAATTTATTTCATAAAAGATTTCTTCTGTCAAAAAATCTAATGAACTATTGTTCAAAACTTTAATTTAGTGTGTTTGGTGCCACGTTTAACAATCTTCCTTGCCCATATGCTTTATAGCAGAGAACGGGAAAAGAAAGAAAACACAGTGAAAACAGAATTTGGCAACCAAAGGGTACCCTGATATAATTTGAGATTCTTATATCAGGGTTTTGAAATACGGCAACAGGATGTTATCTTTCGAAATATAGCCCTCAGTGTCAAAATATTATATTCATATTGAATTTTACGTTTTTATATTGTATAAATTACTATTATGTTTTAAGTTTACAATTCTTAAATAAATAATTAATAAATTACAAATATATTGGAAGTTCACAATAACGACAAATTTGTTGTTATTGCTTTGTGTTAGGATGTTATTTTTGTTGCACATACGATAGTATACACAAATATCATGACTAGAGCTGATTTCTATGCAGTAAAAATGTCTGAAATATGCCACACGATATACACAATAAATCTTTAAAATATGAGGTGCTTATGGCTCAGAGAGAAGTCTCTTGCCTTTTAACAAGGAGGTCCAGGTTTGATTCTCAGACATTCTCATGTGAAATTTGTTCCAACAAAACTAGTTTGCTTGCTTCACAGGTGTTAGACCAACCCCTGCAAAGACTCTTAACCCCTACCCCTGTTATAATTCCTTTCTAATTCTGGCCGCTGGGTAGTGACGCGGGGGGATGTTATAAGAGGCACGTATGTGGAGACACAACCTGGTGGTCCTCATGACAACCTGACTGCGACGAGACATGACAGATATAATGGCAGTTTATACAATGTCACTTAATAGCAGATAATGCTAATGAAGGATTGCCTTTAAATACAAAGTCCTCGACGAGGGGCATGGAGGCGCATTGTTTTAATCTACATGCAAAATTTTTTTTTAATGCAATAAATAGGCGATATAATACTCTCAAGTAAATATAAGCGCTTAATAAAATGAAAAGCACATTATTGTTTAATAAAATGTGAATTGTGTTACAACAGTATTCCCTCTAAAACATGAACAAAAGAATCGTCAGTAGAAAAATATGTTTTGAAAATAATTTTATATTTTAATTTCATTTAATCAACCATGCATTAGAAAGCTGTCATCTGTTCTTGTCCTATTATTTATGGGTGAAAAAATACATAAATTCATTGAACTAGGAACCTTCTGTATGTAGGTAAAATTTATGACAAGATACATTTCTAAATTTGTTTCCAAAAACTGGTTCATCAATCAGTTGAGAAGATTTTATATAAATAACATAATATAAACATTGAACAAATAACATCACTGGTATATTCATATCAAGTGTGTTTGAATTTATGACAAGATATATTTCTAAATTTGTTTCAGAAAAACATTAACTGTCCCCTTGAGCATTCTTACCTGATACTAGAAAGATCTTTGTTTGGTAGACCCTATTGATGACCAGTTAACACATGGTGCGTTTATGCCCACATATAAGTTCTCTTGTACTGGAAAAGTATTCCTGACAGATAAGAAAACTACGGTCTATCATGGGTTTATATTTCTTTTGAGTTCGAGACAATGAACATGACTACCTGTGCTCCCTCACCTGAAATGCAATCTTATGTTTTGTTGTACAAGGGTAATACACTATGTTTACATCTGCTGGCAACTGTTTGAGGCTAAAAGGATATTCACTTCCTTTTGGTGAGCTATTCCATGAACCATGATAACTACAAATAATAATTCACTGATTTCAAGAAGTTTATTACCATTTACCTTGTATATTTTCAAAAATTGCACTGAATATGCACAAGTATGCTGTAACTGTAAAATGTGTCAAAATATGCAAAAATACGCAATATAAAATTCGATAGGAATGCTCAAAATGGGTAAATTCAAATAAGAAAAGGCATTTACATGAAAATCCAGGCTCTAATCATGATTAAAAAATCAGAATTGCCTCAGAAAAACAAGGAGCTCTCTTTAAGAAATAATAGAGTGGAATTCATTTGTTGTAGGAGGAGTGAGCATGTGCCTTGTAAATGGTAGTTCATCTATTAATTTAGGAACTTTAAAAGAAGGGCTTCATTACGAGGATAGCCAACTCAGTATTTCTGCAGCAGCAGGTAAGTTATTGATTTACTAAGAAAATAGCATTTGTTGGCAACTTCAGGGTAGTAACAAAACCAGGTATTGTCAAGGGATTTGTTGTTTACTTGAAAAATTTATGGAAAAATCTGATATTTAGTTTGCATAGTTTCCACAAAAATAATGTTTGAAGTAATTCAAATAAATGGTCATAATTTGGTGTGTGACTGGTAAAAAGCTAATGCTCAAAAATGCCTTTCTCAGAAAATTGCTTTTAAAATTCTGTTTGCCAAATAATTTAGTAATAGATTCATTACATGTAGTTTACTCTTAAAAAGAAATGCACTATTGTACAGTTTGAGCTTACTTAGGTAATAATTCATTAAAGCATCTGCTGCAAAGAGTGGACTGTCCACGCAAGTGGGATGGATTGTCTGGCACTGCCTCTGTATTATCAAAAACAACCACCATGGAAAAATCGTGAAATTTGTTGAGAGTTAGTGGTGGAATCACCAAATTTTCCTTCACCCCAATGGGTCTCCTCCAGTTAGTAGTCATCATCGATGTTTTTGGTTTCCGACAATTATTCACATCTTCAACTTTGTCTCTGGAAATTTGAAAAAATGTAATACACGAAAATGCTTAGTTGAGAATATTCATCAGACTTTTCTTTCCTGATTATTTTGTGGTTCTATATTTCTTTTACCTTTCTTCATCCAATAGAAAGTTAAATTGTTCTTCATAGGATAAACTAGTCAAAATCTTTTAAAATATTTGGAATTATTAAAAGAACGAAACATGCAACAATATGTAGCTGGTCACATCATGTCTGCTCTAAATTGTACACATCATTTTCACGTGGCAATGACAGGCTGTGAATGCCACTTTGTGAGTGCCCTCTGTGACAAATTACCAAGGGTTAGGGTAGAGAAGGAAAAAAATATGAATATTTTAAAGAAAAAAAACCCAGATTTTTTACATAAATCAGATTATTCTATATAAATAGAATTTTGTTTATCGACATTATATTTTAATTAAAGAAGCCCATTTTTGAATGTGTAAAACATTTATTGATAAAATATTTTATCAGTTATTTAGATATTTATCTATATTTGGTAATGTTAATTTAGATTACTTATGATTTAGATATTTTTATATTCTGTATTACTAAGTTACTTAGTAAACACATTAAATAAAGACATTGATATCTTTTATAATTATGAAACTCTTGCTCCTTTGACATTCAAATGTTCAATAATCATTCCTTTATATTATTGAATTTTTATCTGCTACTGTGCCATTTTGTAAATTAATTCTTGTATTTTATTGTATGTTAAGTTGTGGGCTGCAAAAAAACACAAAAGTTGAAAAAATGTTGATGGGAAAAGTTTTGTTGATACAAGTTTTTGTCTTTTTTGTTTCTGTTGGCGATACAGAAGGACATACATTCTCACATCGTTTTGAAAATTCAGAGTTCTAGAAAAAAAGACAACCTGCGCCATTCTTTTAAGTATTCTTGTTCTATACCTGGAAAAAAATTGAAGTGATTTTTGAGGAAGTATTTTTTTATTGCCTAAATTTCCGACACAAATTACTACTTTTTTCCAAAAAGGATACACGACTTCGTTTCAAGTGCTGATTTTTTAGAACACTTTTTAAGGCAAATACATCTATCTTCTATTTTGTAATTTTAAATGTTTATATTTTGCAATTTTCGAAAATTGGGTTTGCTGGTTGGCACCACTTCATCCTTTGATACATATGAGGAGAAAGTTTATAGAAACTGACTACACAACATACTAGTGAAAATAATTTACCACATACCGTCCAAGAATTATCCACCTTTTTGGTATCGGGGACCCACAATATGAGATTTTGTGCCAAAAAATTAGCTCTGTCATTACAGCATTTCAATACTCTTCACTATGTAAGTGTAACCTCTTAACAAGTCCACCTCTTTAAGAAGACCACTCCTATTTGAGATAAGTGTTCTACGGAACATAATAATTATTCTTTAAGATTAATAAATTTTCACCCCCTTAAACATGACCACCTGACTTCATGACCATGCATTTTTGGTGTAATGTAACATCGCATACCCTTGAACATGACCAGAAAACCTTGCTTTGCAATTATAATTTGAAGAGTTTGTTTACTACTGTAAGCCAAGCAGTTTGTGGTGCCATCCAAGTAAACAACAGCAATCGAGCGCAAAAGATTTCACTATAACTTCAGAGGGGAGACCTAAGAAATGAAGAGAAACTGTTGCATTATGAAGTAGATAATTTCGCAGGAGCAAAATAATACTTCAGGATTACAATAATTAAAAGACCTCCTTATGTCAATGATGCATTCCCTGAAGAAGGGCAATACTTCACTGCACTATTTATTTTGGTTGTCATATTAATTTATAAATACAGATGATCAAAGTAAATTAATGATGCAACACAATAAAGCTAGAGAAACGAGAATAGTGTTATGATTCCTATCGTAGTCCCAGCTGCAGTGGTGAGTACAATTTAATAGTGTGATTTTCCCTTTAAATTGTTCATTCCTGTAAAAGATAAATTTTAAGGAATTAATCACATGACCGGCTAAGAGATTTCACTGTATGTAGTATTTAAGAAAGTAATAGGCATATTAAGCAGTGAAATATTAGAATCCCTTTTTTATATATAATGGAATTAGGGAAAATCACTATTTTGTGTCATTTTGTCACTATTTTGTCAGTTTCTATCAACCTGCATATTTCTCCTGCAAAGTATACTCCTGTAGGGATATAAATTTCAATGCAATAATCTAAAATAAACTGCAATGTACTATGATGCCAATGTAGATTTTTTTAAATAATATTGGAGGGTATTGCCACTCCTAAGCATGGGTTGTCAGAAACGTCAGGAATTGGATTCTACAATAAAGCTATGTTTACTATTAATATAATGATTTACAATGGAATGTTCACATGTCTAACAAGTAATATATTTCATGAAGAAACTTTCCATTGTAGTTTAGGAAAAAATATCAGTGAGTTTTACAATTTTGTAGTTATTTAACATGTATACATAGTGAAAGTAGGTTGTAAAGTGATATCTCTGGTAGTTCATTGTGATGCTGATGGTGGTGAGGTGGTAACACTCATTTTAATAATGGTAGAAATTCAATAATATAAAATTTTGATCATTTTTAAAGATAATTAAGAAGAATGCCAACAGTTTTCGACTAAAATGAAGTGATGTAATGTTCAGTAAACAGTATCTTGTGTATTTGTTTATTATTCTGTCTGGGTGTGTGTATGTATGAAATTATTTGAATTTGATTAGCTATTTAATGTATTAGTATTAGTCAACAGATTCTATTATATATTAATGTTGCAGGTGATTATTGCAATGTCAGTAATTTACGTTATAAATCTGTGATACTATTTGAATGTGCTAAGACTGACTCTCTCCCATCATTCGTCAACATAGATGAAGAGAAATGTGTTTATACATTTTTGTTCCAAACAACCTATGCTTGTCCATTCATGGTATGAAACTTTTGAATACGTTAAAAATGTAATTATTTTTTGAAACTTTAATTCATTAATGGAAATCATTCCAACTTAAAAAGTTCACTCTTCATATCATTGTTGAAAGCTGCGTCATTAGAAATAGAAATTTATATTAGACATATTAACAGTTTTTCACATTCTATTAATAGGATTATTAGCTGTGTATGAATGTTTATTAAAATTCTGAGCAAATATTTGTGGGCTTCTGGTATTACAGTTGGGAATTTTAATCTCAATAGATTCAGCAAAAATGAACATTCAGTAGTAACACGTAAAACATTATGATTACGCAAAAACATCATATTAGCATAACATCTATAACATTTATTGTGTAGTTTTTGTAGTGCTCTAATTTATTGTTTTTGATGTGAACTTGATTGTAGTTTGAGTAATTGACATGTAATTTGATTTACCAGTTCCATTTGTACTCTTTTGGACAAATTGTCTGTTAAATTGAAAATAAATAAATTAATACATTGAATTTTAGTTTGTTGAAGGTGAAAATTGTAGAGTGCGGGATGAAGACTATGGAAATGATTTTGATTTCAAATCTTTGCGTAAACCAATGGAAGACTATATTATAAATTATAGTGACGGTCAGTTTCATTTAAATTTATGTGGAGATCTTTTAAAACCTTGCAATGGCTCGACGAATGTTGGTGTGTGCTTTACTGACAGAAAAGGAACCGAGCATGCCATAGGTATGGTGTTATCTTTTCAATATAATGTGAAATGTGTGACTCATTGATTTGGAATGTCACTCACTTTTTTTTTCAGGAGAAGTTGCAATGTCACCTCGTTATAAAGATGGACATTTGAGCTTTGTGCTTAAAGGTGAATTGTGCAAGTCAAACAATACACCAACTGAAGTCAATATTATATTCCGTTGTAATCATCAACTTAATGCAGAAAGAAGTCATCCAAAATTCGTTGAAAAGGTGTGTAAGTATTATTTTGTGTCAGATTTGCTCAGAATTCAGACTTTGCAATGATTTGTTTGGGATGCGGTTTAATAGGTGTCATGAAAAAACACTTTTGGAAAAAATGAGCATTTGAAGTATAAACATTGTTACTCATTTCATGTTTTATTACTTTGCAAATATAATATTTCATTCATCAAAAGTATCTCTATGCCACATTCCTTTTTTAAGGAAGATGTTTCCTGCCTACAAATGGATATTTCTGTAACTGCTCAGTCGGTGTATAGAAACAGGTCTATATTAACAATCTGAAGAAAAGCATGAAGATTGGTTCGTTCGTAGGCTTCCGCGGCAGGAGTCAATACATTCTTGGCTATCTGGACTGAGCTGCGTATCAGTCAATTGTTCTGACGTTTCAGCCATCTTGCTGCGGCCTTCTTCTGAGCTACACTGATGCAGTGCAGCTCAGAAGATGGCCAAAACATCAGCACAATTGATCGAGACGTGGCTCAGCCCGGATAGCCAAGAAAGTATTGACTCCGAACGCTCATCCCGAGTAGCCAAGAATGTATTAAGTTCAGCTTAAATTTGTGTTTATTTAATTGTAATCAATGCCAATAATTAATTTTCCAATATTTGTTAGTCTAAGATTAAAAAGGAACTAGTGGTGCCACAGACACTCACAAATACTATTACCACTCACAAATACTATATATAAAAAAATTATTTAAACAAATCTTTGGAAATGTACATCATAAAGGTGCGAGAATTATTTTTTAAAAAATGTGTAATTTTGAAAACAAAAGAATATAGCAAAATTAATTTTATGTCATCCTAAACAGTGCAATAAGCACTTTGCGAACGAATAATTGGGAAAAAAAATTTGGAGCCGTTTTTGATAAAACGGTGTTCGAGTGTTTCTTATAATGCGGAATTTTGAGCTTGCTTTATTTATTTTGATTGATTATACGGACTATTGTCCAAAAACAGAATAATTAAACGTAACATAATATAAAGTTTATGTGACACAAAGGGCTGGTAACTCTTATTATTAAAATATAGAAAAGCAAGAATAATTTCACAGAAGCCTACCTTAATTACATTTGAGGTGAGCTTTCAGCGATTAAAACTTCTTATAGTATAAAATTGTGTTTGTTCTAAGTTAAAATTCATTACCTATTTAATCTATTCCATTTCATGTAACAATGAAAATTCATATATATATATATAATATATTGAAACGAAGAACGTTTCCGCATGATAACAAGCAAAATTGATATTAATTATAAGTAAAAGAAGCACTAAATCGATCAGCGTAGTAACGCCGCCGCCGCCGCCGCCGCTGCCACCAACGGTCAAACCGGGGGGCAGACGGGCGAGGCGAGTGACGGTTAAGAAGTAACGGCAGGGAGGCCGCGAGCGCCGGGTGGAGAGTATCGGCGGAGAAGCCGCGAGCGCAACACGGACGGGCTGTGCTGCCCCAAGCAAGTTTGTAGTGAAATTACCAATAGTGTGGAACTGATTGTAGCCATTGAGTGGGAGATTAGAGGTGCTAAAAATAGATTATCAGATGATTAGGAGAAATGGAAGTGCGCACCAGGACCGGGATCGGTGAAAACATTAATATTGGAGTTTGAGTGACCGACAGACACGCGTTCCATGTCCGCCCGGGTGTGATGCAGCAGCGGGCCGCACCGTGCGAACAGTCGAGTGGGGATTGAGAAGAACGGTTGTGATCGGAGCTGCCGACGGGACGCCATTGCGCGTTGTGCAAGTTAGTATATGTGACATTGCTTGCATTGGCTGGGGTGGTGGATCCCGGCGAGTTAGTTGGCCCTTGCATCGGGAGGTCCGCGGAGCCGACCGCCGGGGGAGATCGGTTTTCCGACAAGCTTCGGGGCGGACCGAAGTTTGCCGAACACGCCGCCGCCGTTGCCACGGCGGCCACGCTCGCCTCCAGTCAGCCGGTGGACATCGGAAGCTTCAAGGTAGCGTTACTCGTGCACGAATTATTAAAAGGCCTTGCGCACTGCGTATTGTAAAGAATTTATGTATATAGTGTGTCAATCATTAAACTTTCTATTGCACGAAAGAGTTTCCTCGATCATTCTTCTAATGCAGCGTCAATTCCCCCTGGAAGCCCATTCACGAGAATGTACCCGTCCTTTATATTATTTTATTTATCGTGAGAGTACCGTTTCCCAGGTACGTCACAATATGATATTGTAATGAGATCGCTCGATCGGGATATGAAGGGCGCCAGGTTCAGTTCCTGTAACGAATGGATGGAAGTGAAGGGAGGTCATAAATCAGTCCATTGAATCGTTTCTAACAAAATTAGATTTATTCCTGGCAACATGAGTTGCCAGGGAAGTTACAGGTCACAAGAGAGCGACACAGATTACTTGCTAACCTTACGTTACGAGCTCATAATCTTAACAGTTAATGAAAAAATTTCTTAACTCTTAACATTAATGACTTATTGGTGCTTATTGCTTAATGGCTTATTGCGAGCTATATATATTCATGCATATTTTAACCATAATAAAAACGGCCTGAGCGCGGGCACTCTTAGTCTCTCGCTAAAATGTCCTGCGAGGGAGCCCCGCGTCATAACTACGGGAGATAGTTCGACTCCGGTTAAATACCGGATTAATCACCACCGGCTGGCGGTGGCTCCGCAGACCGGCCGGATGGCGGTCCTCATTCGAAGACGGTGGGCGGTCTCAGGTCACCGACCTCCCATTGGGTGTTCCTCCTCAGCTGGCAGCGTGCCGTGGCGACGGAGTCGTCAAATCGTGCTGACTCAGTCAGTTGAGGACACACGGGTGCTGGCCGTGGTTTAGTGCGGGCTTGAATGTGCCCGATATTGCACTAGGCGGCTGATGCAGATCAACTATGCGAAAGTTGCGCGGGATCTCGCCATCTCCCACCCAAGTTTCCTCCGCGGTAATTCTAATGTGAATGATGTTCTCTCAGTAGTCTTTAGGCGTAATTTAGAGAGAGTTAAAGTGCTTATTCGAGAGTCTGAATTACAAGTGCTTATTCGAGAGTTTGAATTACAAGTGCTTATTCGAGAGTCTGAATTACAAGTGCTTATTCGAGAGTCCGCATTACAAGTACTTATTCGAGAGTCTGCATTCAAAGAGTGCTTATTCGAGAGTCTGCATTCAAAGAGTGCTTACTCGAGAGTCTGCGTTATAGTAAAGTTTCTCTGCACATCTCGCATTCAAGTTACCTCCGTTTCCCCCTCTCAAAACGTTTCCGAAACTGCAGATCTGCTCCTTTCCTCACGACAGGCCTAAACTAAGTGCGTTTTAATTTTGAAGTTCTCCAATCGGGATGCATCGTTTACGGAATTTTCCAGGGAGATCTTTCTTTCTCCCCCGGCCCCCCCTCTCTGAGTGATTCCAGAAGCTTTTCTCGCAGCTGTCCGAACACTTGTTCGAGTGTTTGCGTTTTTTTCTGGGCCATAAATTCGTCAGCGGAGGCTGATCGGCAGCCGGCGACTGTCGAGTTGTAAATATCCCCTTTGGGAATTTGGATTCCTCGCGCGGGCGCGTATTGTTTGTCTTGAGTGCCCGGTGGCTCCGCGAAGGATGGCAGCGCGAGGTGTCTATGACGGGCCATAAATGTGTCCGCCACGCAGCGGTCGGTCGGGCAACTGTCAATGTGCGGGCTTGGCCGGCCGGTCGTTAGGGTTCTTCGCAACAAAAGCCCGGTCCCGCGACCTACTTAACTGTGATCGAAGCTATTTCGATATAAAATTATTATAATATTATTTGGTGACGCCACAATATATATATATATATATATATATATATATATATATATATATATATATATATATTTAACCTATTCTGAAGTCAGAATTGAGCTGCCACCCACAATTTTTTTAATCGCGAAAAACCACCGTGAAATTGTAAATTATAAATTTCGTTGTTTTTTCGCAATAAAAAACTGGAAGGTGTTGGCGCAATTTCGGATTCAGCGCTTTGACATACATAAAGAATGTGTCAAATTGGGGGCTGACAACTCCCAAAAACAAAACAAAAATACAATATCAGGGTTTTTGTGCGAGTAAAGCTGGACGGTGTGGCGCAATTCTTGCTTCAATGCATTGACATACCTAGCACTTGTGTCAAGTTTTGTGGCTTGTTTTTAATTTTACTTATTTACAACTTTATTTTGTGTGCTTGATTTTGTAACCCAACGAGTCCTGTGGATAGAACGGGAACGGGAATTTCAACAATAATAGACATAACATTTGCAGTAATAAACATTTACTCACTAAAATGATGATGATGGTGATGATTTACATGAATTACAATAATAAAAAAAACGACCCTTTCTTTTCTTAGAACATTAGCCATCTACTAAATTCGATACAAAATAAAGCAATGGGTCGTCATAAATATTTGTGCTGAAGGCACCCTCTCCCCCCCCCCGCTTCGCTCAGAAAGTGTTCGACCGCATTTATGCGGGTACTAAGCGGATTATAACCCTCGTTTTCTGTAGGCGGGCATACAGCACGCCCGGTGGTGGAGTCGTCTGCATGCGTTCTGGAGCGGGCCGCCCCCTTACAGGCAGAGGCGGTGAACACAGGGGGCTCCCAGCGTGACCGACCTCAGGCAGCAACGGTGTTCATCGGCGATTATTGATTGGAAGCCAATCGACTTCCGTATCAGTAGTCGCGGATGATTGTCATAACGCGGTAAATTGACTTTAGGCGCGAGACTGCATCCCTTTTCGCCTGAATTTCTGACAGAGTGCGCGAGGGGTCAACTTTCCTCCGCAAGAGGTTTCGAATGCTAAGTGAGGTCAAGTGAACAAGCGAAGTGAGGTTAATAACTTGAGTTTCAGTCAATGCCTTACTGAACTCAAGTGAATACTAGGAGCCAAATTAAAAAAATCAAGTGACTACTCGTGGCCGAGTCAAGACATCGAGTGACTACTCGTGGCCGAGTCAAGACATCGAGTGACTACTCGTGGCCGAGTCAAGACATCGAATGACTACTCGTGGCCGAGTCAAGGACTCGAATGACCACTCGTGGCCGAGTCAAGAAAACAAGTCGAATCGAGTGCTCGTGGCCGAACTATCAAATCGAATGTCTACAGAGCGGCGGCCTGGTAACAGCAAACCTCGGTACCCCCTCCCTCAAACAGCATGTATCCTCCCGATACAAGGGGTTGAATTTCGCGGAGCAGGGTGGAGGTGTGTGTCTAACCAATCAAACGGGAACCCTTTTCTCAACGGCCAGAATGTCCGTTGCTGTTATATAAAAACTTAGCATCCGCACGTGCGCCGCTGACCGTTGGGTCGTAAATTTGTCTCCCGAGAGGGGGCAATTAGCGCTGGGTTCATTTTACAAGCGGTTGCGTGGGTGAATAGGAGACACCCACTTAACATTTGGCGAGGACCCGGCTGCCGACTAACCCCCCTTCGGCACTGCGCACCTGTCTTAAAATCTCATACAACTCCTCGCCTCAATAGCTGAACGGGAGCGGGTACCTACGACCCCCTTTCGCAGCTGCGTCGCGGACGTCCGCTTTCCCCCCTTTTTTTCATGGACATTTTTCAGCGCATGAGCTTGTACCGTTACAAATTTATTGGTTCGGGACGAAATAATATAAATATATTATATAGCATTATATAAAATATTGTATTAGAAACTGTTCCCAAAAATGTGTTAGAAGAATGGAAATGTAATTCCAGTACTGGTTACGATAAATAGAGTAGGATATTGCTTCGTTATTAATAATCTACGCTCCACTTTTGCTAAATTTTTCATATTTTAATTGAATCATAAACATTTAAATAATAATTACTATTCAAAAACTTAATTATCAATTGAACCTTTCCCCCCACTGCCGTACCATCATTGGAACACTGTGTGCCCGTCGCCGCGTCCAGCACTAACCTTGCCCCTTAGGTCGATTCCGAGCAGATTTTTGTGAGGTCACAGAGCGTTGAGTTGGCAAGCCGTGGCCTAGGGGGTACAAACTCGTGGATGAAACCACGATGACAAGAAAAGACCAGAAGAACAGTATTCACCATTGACTTGCACATTTGGGACTTCTTCGAACGAGGAGACTTGTTCGTGTGCCATAATGCCATTCCGAACTTTATTAGCTTTCTATTCATCAGTCAAGATTATTGCCACAAACGACGCGCAAAATTTCCTCATTTCCAAGTAGTCTGTGATGAAGGTTTGAGTGGTGCCATAAAAAGGTTTAACTTCTCACAAATCAGACAAGTCGATAACCGACGATCAAAGGCCAGAAGTTGTTTCACGTTTGGCACATTTTCGTCGGCCTTTGATGCTGACGGGCGACCGGTGTGTTGGGTCATCCTTGACGAGCTGCCTTGTCACCCAGAACAACTCACTGGAGTGGCTACTGGCAGCATCCCGTAGGTCTGCTTGATTATATCGAAGGTTTCCGTGGCGGTTGTTTCGAGTTTGAAGCCAAACTTCACGCTGTAGCGCTGCTCGAGAATCAGATCCATGCAGTGTGTTCGGGCCTACTAGCAAAGCAGATAACTACGCTTACATTTCATACGTATGCTTAGCTCTGGACAGCACCTATGCTGGGGCGTTCTCATGCGTGGCGCCTACGAGCGATCGCCCCACCGCGCAGAAATTCTTACATGTCCGATCACGCCACGCTGAGGCAACAGCCACGAAGCTTCTGGAGCGTTTAAAAATACCAATGAGTGATTCGGCAATGTACGACCATCCCACTTCACGCGCCGCGCGCACACCATCGCGCGACGAACGCATCGCCGAGGACCAACTCGGAGTTGAACACAGCCTTCGAACGCACGTCTCGCGCGCGCTGCCTCAGATTCCATAAGGTTGTACAATTCACTCACGCGAAGTGTTTTCTGTATATTGTTCACTGAACACAATGTAATTACGCGAACGCAAGTGTTAGTTTGTGTATCGTAAGCTATTTGAAATGTGTAAGCGTACAGCGTGTCATGTCTGTTGAAGTGTTGAACTGTAAGTGAATCAACCGAACTATATGTTGTGTAAATCACCACATCTCAAGGGGAATAAACATGTTATTGTGCAAATCGTCTGTGTCTAACTTTAACACATTGTGTAGTCAGAGTCCATGTTTTGTGAGTGCTTGATACCAAAAAATAGATTGCCAGCAAAAGGTCTGTCCATCCTTTCGTGTCTGATAGTCCTTTCGTTTGTCCATCTGTCTGTCTCTGGTCAACACTAGCGCCCATGGTGGAAAAGTCGTGGGCAGAGAGTATATGGGGTGTGGGTACGTGGGTGTGAACATCACACAGACTTCAGCCAATGAGCGTCAGTTTGCGACATAATAATCGCGGAAGATTTAAATGCAGCCAGATATCAAAATTATCACATTGAAACAAATTTATGAAGCATTTTTTGAAAATATTGTATCGTGTTAGTTTTGGTTGGTCACCGTTGAAAATTGTTACTTTGCCATTTCAAAATGTTTCTCAACACTTCTCGCTCAATGAAGTGCCCTTCTGCGCAGAACGAGCAACAATCGGTGCGCACAAAGTGGAGCTAGTCCCGAACTCTTTTCGCCGAACTCTCTTTCCGAAAATTTCAAGCAGCAAAAAATTAGCGTTGCAACAAGTACACACCTATCTTTTCCACCGTGGCTAGCGCCTAAACCATTCAAACGATTGTTTTCAAATTTGATATTCCCGATCGGTCTGAACGAACTCGAGGCCTTGGAAGTTTGAAATGGATATTTTGATGGGGGGTGTACTCTACATGAAGACTCAACATTTTTTCCTCCAAAAAATGGCCCCCAATGCTTGCATTGAACTTCGTTCTTGGATAGAGTGAAGATCTCTTAAAGAAACGGTTTGGGGCTCATATTTAAATGTTGATCATTGCTAAACTTGAACTTTTTTGGCGTCTTCATACATCTACAAAATTGAAGATGTAAGAGGTTTTTCTTAATGAAATGTGTTCATTGAAAATAAGTCTTGAAATAAGGTAATGTTAAATTTTTCGAAAATGCGAGAAGTTTTTGCGTAATTTTTCGTGAAATATTCGGGGGCCAGAACTCGTAGAGCAAAACTCGTCCAAGTTTTCGGACAGCCAGTTTCGGACCAAATGGCTCGTGTGAGCCGGTGCGCCGTCTTCCTTAAAGTCATACGGTCTCCCGGAAGCTACAGCCACCATCTACGGTTTCACGAGTCTGCAAAACTCGCAGATAAACTTCTTTGGTGACTGTTTGCGCCTTTTTTTAAAAGAAATGTGGCGGCTTGACATCACCCTCTGGACACACCTAAGAAATAAACACTTGTCGGAAATTATTTTCTAGCAACAATCGGGACGTTCTCGGGATCAGCGATCATTTCTACGTTTGACCTTCACGGCCGCAGTAAACATTTTTTTTTTTTATCAGAAACGAAGCCTTGAATGACGCCAACTACAATATGGCGAGAAATTTAAATTTGTCTGGATTTAAGCACTGCACCCAATCATTTCGTTATATACTTTTAAAGAATAAGTAATCACCATTTCTGTTAATTATTGAATTAGGACATAGACCTTGTTTGCTGTAGATTCCACTTCTGTTCTTTTTGGATCTACTGTTTTGTCGAGTAGCAGTCTTTAAACTTGCTTGTATGTAACCAAATTTCTTGTTTGTTTCCTTCATCATACATGTACTCATTGGTGTTTTGTATTTCTTTGGAGATGCAGTTTTGACCATCTTAGATTTTCCTTAAAGTACAAAAACTTTATTAAACAATATTTTCATTAAATACAATTGAGAGCTCTAATAAAAATAAATTCCTTTCATTTTTAATCCATTATGCCTGCTGAAAATACTGTGATTCTCCTTTATTTTAAAATATGTAAAATGGTTGACACTATTTCTGACAGCATTGATATATTGTGAATTGATCAGAAAATATTAATAATTTGGAAATGTCTTTACACTTATGAACACCATATTGATTTAATAAAATATTTTTGAATCTTTTTCAATTTATTCATTTTTCTGGCAAGTGAAATTAATTCATAAAGTTGTTAAAGAACTTTTCTTTAGAGAGAGGGAGAGAGTAATTTGTGAAGCAAATATGTGATAAATATTATGCTGCTATGAGTTCACTATGTGTGCACTTTGATATTTAATTATTTTTTCTTTTCTTTTTTCAGAACAATGAGTGTTCTTACAGTTTTGTTTGGTACACAGCTATTGCATGTGCTCAATATACAACGCATGAATGCAAAGTGGAGGATGACAGTGGTGAAGTATATGATTTAAGCCCACTTTCACTACACGATGATGATTATGTTGTGTGGCTTAATGATAAAAAAGGGTACTGGAAATTTGTTATCAATGTCTGCCAACCAATTATGTTTGGTAATAGAGCCAGATGTAGTTCTGAAACTGCAATTTGTATGCAAAATATGTCCGAACCAAACTATCCAAAAAGGTAAGTTTTTTTGATTTTTGTTTGTTTATGTATAATGCCTAATTGCATAGGATATAACGGAAGAAAAAAAAACACAACTGAAATATGAATCTTTTGGCTTCATTTCACGCTTTTAAAAATAACAGTTCTAAATGTTCAGTAAAAAGCCAAGATACTTTCAGAATTTTCAGTTTTTTAATTTCTGGTATACGTAAGTATATACGGAGTATATACATGGGATAGAGAAAGTTATGTAATACTGCAGAAAATTGATTCTGAGATTTCGGGGTCCCCTGGTACCAAAACAGTGGGCAAGTTATATGAAGAAAGTGAAAAGTTTTTATCCAAAACTTCCGTCCCTTTGTGAACACCACTAACACCTAAACCGTATGTAGGATTTTTTCCAAAATGGATATTGCCCGGTCGATCTGATTCGACTCCAGAAGCAGTGGTTTTGAAAAAACTTTCTTTAAAATTTGGGGGTACTTGTAACTCCCAGGGCATTTTCAAAATTTCTCAGAAAGGGCACCCAAATTTTCTCCTTCAATTTTATTTAAGAAAAGAGGAAAATACAGTTATGAAGGTGACATAGGTATGATTTTAACGGTTAACTTTGGTTTTTTGAAAGTTGCAAAAGTTTGAATATTTTTCAGCGTCTTCGTACAACTACAAAATTGAAGATACAAGATTTTCCCTTCAAATGAAATTTGATCTCCATAATAAGTCTTTCATTAAGGTCATGCACATTTTTTTGGAACTTTTTGTAGTTTTCATTGCTGTATTGCTTGTAGTATTTGCAATTTTAAAAAATTATAAAAAGAAGTTTTGAAAAACGGCTCCAAAATTTTTCTTTAAACTTTAGGTAGGGATTGTGGTAGGTAGGGATTCATTTTAGTAAGGATAGTGCTAAATGCACTATAAGATAACATAACAACTATTCTTTTGTTAATTTTTTTTCAAAATCACAAAAATTTACCTTTTTTGGTCTTGCATTTCATGTTTTTAAATCAAATATTTTTAAATCTCTCACACTGTTAATATGCACTTCCCAGCGATTTGACATCTCTATTCCATTTGTGAGTTAAAGTACTTAAAATGTCTTTGAATTAAGTTTTGGGAAAATCACAAATTTTTCTGTTAAAAAGAGTTTTAAATTTTACTTTTACAATAATGTTTAAAAGCCATTTTCTTAAAAGCAGCTCCAAATTTTTCAATGAAAATTGCCATATATGACAAGGTTTTACTCTTCTTTAATATTCTTATAGTAACATTTCAGTTCTACTATTAGGAAATGGAAAAATTGAGATAATGTAAAAACAAATGTTCTTTGGGTGGCGATAGATGGCAGCTGGCAAGAGGATGGGGCAAGACCATAAAGCGAGACCACTCCAAGGAAATTAGAAAACTTTACTACGAGAAAGTCTGTGTCATTCTGTAGTACATTACTTCCTGCATTGGAAAGTACCATCTGTATTGCGACAATATTTGTAGAAAAGTTTACCACACAGATTATTCAAATATCTATTTTGTTGTGAACATATTTAAAAGACAGTAAAAATAACTTTCTTGGTTTGACGTATTAAAAAAAATATATATATATTTGCAAGACACGTTTTCTTGTTCTAAAACTACATTATGCAAAAGTATGCTTTTAAACAAATTGGTATTGAACTCTCTCATTTTATTATGAAAACAAATTTTATCTAATATCTTCATGTCTAATGATTTCATTGGGAAGTGACAAGTAGTCCATAGAGTGCTGAATTCTTTCCAATAATGTGTCCTTTTTTAGTTTTTCTAGTCTTGGTCAGGCATCTTCTTTACAATATGATAAAGTAAAGAAGGTTCTGAAAGTTGACTACTCTGGTGGGAGCACTTGCCCAAATGGAAGAGGAGGAGGAGGAGGAATCTTCAATAGTTTAGATTTACATTCTACAATAATTTTCATCTGTGATAAAGAAGTATGAATTTGTTTCTTCTTGAGGTTAACTATGGTATTTTAAGAAAAGTGTGCATTGTGATTATGACCTTAACATGTTGACTTTTGTTTCAGTCATCTCCATATCCTAAATTAACTAAACAAAATGGTTGTTATTATGAATTTGAATGGAGAACCAAATTTGCGTGCTCTAAGAAAATAGAGCCTATTCACGAGGACAATAATTGCAAAGCTTATAACTCTTTTTCGGGTGTAAGGTATGTCTCAGCTGTTCTTGTTCTATTTTAACATAATTTTTCCAATGAATTTTATGGATATTCAAAGAAGAGGCCCGGTACATGTTTTAAATTTCAAAACATGTATGTGCTAAACGTATTTCACAACCTATCAGTGCTTTATATTCTTGTATACATGCATGTTTGTAGAGAGTAACATATATACAGAATTGGAAAAAATTATGTAATGCTCAAGAAAAGTGATTTTGAGATTTCTACATAAAACATTAAGCAGACTCCTGTTACTGAGAAAATTTTATTTTTTTAAAACGTGTGTTTGTTCACCTAACTTCATGTTAGTGTGAACAAATTTTTCACCCTCCCTTTCCTCCTTAAAAAAATCTATGACAACTTTTGTCTTATCAAATCTTAATAATGGCAAAAAAGCAGCATATTATGCCCTCTTTTATTTTGAGTTTGGATGAAATGGTTCAGGATGTGCTGAGAAAAATCATGTTGGGCAATATATAAAAGCTTGCTCGGAGTAAAGAGATTAGAAAACTATTTAGTACAAGAAAGTCTGAGCCACCGCTAGTTATTGAAGTCTTACATTATTCATATATTGTAGATATTACTTATTACATGTAAATAGATATATACACTACAATAATGACAAGGTCAACTTGTACATGTACTTAATAATTTTGTATCCTTTTTAGGGTAGACCTGACTTCATTTGCTGGCCATGAACACCTTATTAAACACCCATCTGGCAGACAGTTTAGATTTGTTATTTGTGGTTCACTGAATAATGAGAGCTCAGATGGAGTTGGTAAGTGAAAAAAAGGAGAGAGAAGAGAAGAGGGAGACGGAAAAAAAGAACAAGGAGAGGGAACGAGGGGAAGAGAAAGGAGGACAGATTAGGAGGAAATCAGAGAGGGGGAAAATAGAAAAAAATGAGAAGGAAAAAGAGGAATAGAAAATGAGAAGAGGAGAGAGAGAAAGGGAGGGGGGAATGAGAGAGCAGGATGTCTGCCGGGTTCTACTAGTGATCTTTTATGTGCATATCAGCAAAAAGCATACAAAATGCAGCTACTCAAACTGTAGCTAAATTCTAACTATGCACATCATTCTTATCTGCAAGTACTTTTTACAGCAATTACATTTTTGAAATTGCTATCACCAATCTCCTGTACGAAGGTAACATGCAAAGTCAACATAATCAGCTACGACCAGAATCGTCCGTCCGTCTGTCCGTCGTAGGAAAAGAAGAACATAATTGGATTAACTTCCTTGATGTTACAATTTTTAGACATGATAACAAATTAGAAATCAATTGGTATACTAAACCTACTTTTTCAGCGATTTTATTGGATCTTTTATCTGGTCATCCAACCTGGATGAAAATTGGAGTGATCTATAATTTAGTTGATAGAAGCATTATACTATCACATCATCAGTTTCATACTGATAATCTTTATAAAGTTAAACAAATCCTTTTGGACAACCACTACCCTAAGAAATTCATTCTTAAATATATTAACAAATTGGTCAATAAAATTTTGAGTTCCACCCTACAGTGTCACCAACCATTCCAATGAATCTATTCAAACTTCTCCTAACATAATTATTCCATTTGTAAAAACACTGACCATGCCGTTACAACAACACTTGAAATCAAAGTACAATAACAACATTAAAAGTACAATAATTAAGAAAAGAATCGTATAAGAAATGTAAAAGATAAAATACTGAAAGATGATGTGATATATAAAGTGTATGCATTTCAATGCAATGATTTCAGTTGAATTATATTAGCCAAAGAGAAGAATCAAACAGAGAATAACAGAACATAGAAAAAATATCCCTGAGGTTACAAATAGTCAAAATTCAATATACCAACATAGAATTAATCTAAATCCTTCAATAAATTTTGATCAGTTTCGTATATTAGCGGTAGAACACAACAGAAATAAAAGATTAATACTAGTAACATTATATATAAAACTCAGAATACTATGAATACAGTTAAAGAATCCAATCAGTTCACAAAAATTTTTGTCAACATATTAAATATTTTTCGACAATAACACCTTCCTTTTTTAACATTAGGATCAAATCTTTCTGAATGCACCCTCAACTATCTCCTAATTTCTGTTATTCCTCCACTAGCAACGGTTTAATTTAAACATTCAACTGTAAAGTGGATGGACAACACTCCTCTACTTATTCTAAAATTCAGATATGTTTCTCTATAATTGGTATATATTGTATACAGTTTTTGTATATATTAGTTTTAGTTTTCTGTTATAACAGGTGAGCTTTCTTTGAATTGGGTTCAGTATAAATTTGTTAATTTTGTGTAAATCATTTTGGCTTCATGCAAAATTTTGTAATTAAATTTTCATTTGTACCTGATGAGGGAGACAGAACAGTGTCTGAAACGTTGTAGTGAATAAAATTATTATGTGAAGACATTTTTGCACTTATCATTGTGGTTGTCCATAATTTAAAGTAAGGGTCTGAACAACAAATAATTAGAAAAAAATCATCTAACTCGTGATATAGCCATAATCCATGTTTTGTGCGTTTTTGATACCGTACAATCGATTGATGACCAAACGTCTGTCTGTCTGTACACAAGGCTAGTATATAAACCGTTCAGCCAATTTTCTCCAAAATTAATATTCCCCAATAGTTCTGCCTGACGAACCACTAGTACTCTTGTTTACCAGATGCACTTTCAGGAAATGAAGTAAGCCTATCCGGATCATATATTCCTGTTCAAAGATGGTTCATCGTGCAATGATGCAGTGTTTTTACTGTATCAAGGTCACCAAAGTCAAATCGACTCCGCGTTTTCACAGCAGAAATGTATCCAATCCTCGAAGCCCGAAAGCACATGGAGTCAGCGACGCTGCGGCGAGTAGTTCTCTAGTTCTGATTCTCTCAGCTCTCTTCAAGTTGTCTCCCGTTCTTTCTCAGACTACCTGACAGAATCTGTTCAAAACCTGATTCATCGTCTCCTGTTCCGCCACTATGATCTGGTGCTCAGTTGGGTCCCAAGTCATGTGGGAATCAGGGAATAAGCTGGCTGACCAGGCGGCGAAACCAGTGATGCGGAAGACCCATATTGACATTCCTTCTCGTCAAATGTTAAGGCTTTTTGAGACGATCCATCTTTAGATCGTGACAAACAGTGGCACAACACCACATTCCTTCTGTACCATCGCCCGATGTTCAGGCTTTTTGAGACGATCCATCTTTAGAGCGTGGCAAACAGAGTGGCACAACACAACTTTTAAACTAAGTGTAATAAAGGATTCTGTTAAACCCTAGCGTTCCTCATTTCGACCGTCTAGCATGAGGAAGATATTTTAACCAGTCTTCGAATCGGCCACTGCCACTAGCAAAATGTGGCGTCGCAGACGTAAACTGTTTGAAACTTTCGTATTTCATTTCTTTCAAGCCCAGCTTTGTTTAAAGATGATCAGTATCTGGCATTGGATTTACCAATGAATCGTAATAGATACTCCCAACACCCAATGGTCTTGTGTGGTACCTCCATACGGGATATGAACTGGTCTTATTGCAATTTCAAAATTATAATCGCAGTAACAAATACTTTCAGGTTTTGATGCTAATAGTTAAGATTTGGTAAATCTTCAAATTTACGCCTTTTTGCTAATATACACAAAAATGCACATAGCACATTTGCATTAGCACATATGCTAAATGCAGATCATTCCCAGTTAGTTCCGAAAATTCCATCGTAACATCTTTTACAACATGTGATTCTTCCCTGGATTTCCTTAAAACTTCCATGTTTTTCTCCCCTAATTTTGAAGAGATTAAAACTTCACAAGCTCAGTCCAATGTGTTTTTACCTCTACTTCTGCAATTGCTCTATTAATCGTTTTGTATACGAATCTAACATTAAAAGGTACTAAAATATACGAGTACATGCACCCTTCAGGGTCGTTTACATCCTGCAGTAGCACATTTTGGCGATTTTGTGTCAACGTTGACTTCGCCAAAATAATTGTCGTTTGGAATAGCATATTATAATATGGAAATGAATATTTGTGTGGTTGTATTAAGGAATGTATTTCTGTACAGGAATCTGTGAAGAAAAGGAAAATGGTTGTGAAAATATTGGAATTGGAAATTCAAATTTATATTTCGACAGAGGAAAATTCTACTTGAATTATACTGATGGGGCGAATTGTGCCTCCAATGTTAAGATATTTACTATCATAGAATTTATTTGTGGTACCAAAGATTCACAATTAATTACATTCCTGAATCCATGTGCTTATTCAGTTTCTGTTTTCACAAGCTTGGCTTGCTCGGTAAGAATATTTTATTTTACTTAAATATATTAAATCTGTGTGTGCTTCTTTAATTCACTAAAACTTCCATGGCTGTGATAAGTTTATTTATTTTAGATTCCTTAATTTTATTTGAGGCAAACATTATCTACCTACAAAGGGCAAAACATATTGGTGATCCCCTATTAATTCATTTATTCATTTGACCAAATTATTTCAAAGATATGATATTCGGTAAACTCCTACAGCATTGTGTTATTGCCGAGGGATATTAAACATTGAATGTACCTTTGAGAACTTCATGGACTGACATCCACCCAGTTCTGTTGCTTTTTTGAATTTTCAATTTCTACATTTGAAAATTAGCTTAAACGTTATGGCTGCCAATGTACCAAAATATCACAGGGGTGATAACACATATTAATAGTATATTATTATGTATGCATCCCTAATTGTTATTACACATTGATGTGAACCAAATCAGTATCTTATACTTCCATCACATAACTTATGATAAAAATTTCAGGTATATCATGTTTTTGATACATTTTCATATAAATCGATTTTCCACAGCATTACATAACTTTCCCTATACTGTGAATATTACTCCATATATACTTATGTATACAGAAATGTAAAATGTGAGATAATGTAAAAAAATTTATTTTACGTGCTAGTAGATGGCACATAGGAAGAAGAAAGTTGGTTAAAACTGAAAAGCTTACCCAGGCCAAAGAGATGAGGAAACTGATTCGATAGTCTGTGCCATTTTGTAGCACGACTAGTTTATCTCTATTTTCTTCTCTTAGCTATTTTCTTTTCCTTTTCTTCGGTTTATTATAACCATGTCTTTGTTATTGCCAGGTTCCTTGTGAGACTGTGGCTGACAGTCCCAAAAAAATAAATCTTTCTTTTTTGAGCAATTATCAAAATAGTTACAAAACAACAGCAAACGGTGTGGACTATTTTATCAGTGTTTGTAAGCCTCTATTTCCTAAAGTAGGAACTTGTGACATTGGGTCTGCAGTTTGTAAGGCTGTTGCTCAAGAAGAAAGTAGGTCTGAAGAAGTGGTGAGTAAGATAAGTTCCATCAAAAGTAAAATTTAAGTGTTTTGATTAACTACTGCAGATGATTATTATTAGTCAACTTGTTGTGACCCTTCATCTTATTTTTTTGTTTATTTTTCTGTTTAATTGTTAGTGTTTCATTCTCAGTTTTCCGTTACAGAGCCTTGGTTCTCCTCACTTCAGACCTGCCTCATTTGGTGACCATGTCATTCTGAACTATTCTTCAAATCAATGTTCAAATAATCCATCCAAGAATGTAGGATCAAGCATAATTTTTATGTGTAATCCTTCCCTTGGAATTGTGAGTAGAATTATGTTCTTTGATATTAATATTTGTGTACTTATTTAATGGGTAAATTTCTGACTGAAACTCCTTGAAGTTCCCTTCTTTAAAATGCGTATAAAAATTTCAACTTCTATTGTTTGTAGTAAACCAATAGTTTTGCAACATGTGCCTCATTTTACTTTCTCGCCCTTACGAAGGTAAGAAAAGAAGGTTATGTAATCACGCATTGGAGAATGAATTTTCGGCAGAAAAACTTATTGCCGGGCCCTGGTAACGAAAAAGTGGATAAATCCTGTCGCTAAATATAGCAAAAAATCCTCCAACACATGGTAGAGGGTGTGGGTTCTTGATATCAAAAAATTGATTGACGGCAAAACATGTAGGTCCGTCCGTTTGTGGTCAACCCTAGCACCTAAATCGTTTAGCCGATTTTCTACAATGATATTTCCCAATCGATCTGGCTGATATCTCGGCCCTTTGAATTTGAAACCGTTATTTTAATTTTGGGGGGTACTTTGCATGAAACTTCTGGGACATTTTCAAACAAAACAAAAAATTGCACATTTTTTTAAATAAAATGTATTGCATAAAGGACGCTTAGAAGAATGCTGCGTGTCTCATTTGCGTTAAAATACCTGATTTTTGGAAAATTGCAAAATTTCATTTTTTCTGTGTCATCCTAACACTACTATGAAGAAGATAATTTTTTTCTTAACCCTTAGTTTACTCGCGCTATGTTTTGTCACACAAGTATCCGCGCGAAGTATTTGTACGCCAAGCCTATTAACAAAAGAACTATGCAAGGCCGGAATAATATTTAGATTTAATTTTTATTTAGTGTTATTTGAAATATATACTTACGATTTTCATTAATAATAAATTTAGTATATTAGTCTTCTAAACAATTTTTGCCTTTGATGAATCTAAAAATGTTCGTTGCATGCAAATTTTTTGCACCAGTTATACTAGTAATAATTGTAGTAGTGCGCGGTTTTGCTCTTCCGCAAATGTAACAGAAATTTCTTAATTTTGTTGGTGTATTCTTGATCCTTACGACGTCCAGCTTTTGTAAATTTGCTGACAAGCAGTCTTATATTCCACTTTGTAACCTTGTGTTTGCCAATGAAAACATATCTACACTCTAAATCGCTGCTTGAGTGATCACTAGCATAACGAAGCCCAGAACGCGTGTCACTTGCAACATCGCAAATTTCGTCTTCTGACGACTCCTCGTGTAATAATTCAAATATCTTTTTTCCCGATAAATTATTCATCTCTAATGTAAAATAAAATAAAAAATACTTTAATTACATATTATATAAAAAATCCTGTGATAATTGAAGGGAAATGAAAGCTCACATTGGTAGCAGAGAGTATTGGTACCCTCACGGCGTAGAAAGTACGCCAGTACGCCAACGAACACTTTCCAACGGAAATTCAATCGTCCAATCATTGATCACCCTAAGCATGATCCTGATGTAAACAAAGGAACACAGTATTCAACCGCCAAGTGCTTACCTCATTGGTCGATCACTGGAGGCGCCTCCTTCAACAACGCACGTGCTCACGAACTGGCAGAAGCGCCTGCGGCAACGCCGGTCCCACTTGCGATAAGAACGTCTCCAATTTCCAGCTGTGACACGCACACATCCCCTTTCGCAATCGACACTACTGCATAGCAGGCTCGTCCAAAAGCGGTTCACCACCCAAATCACTTTCACTAGAGCTCTCCGAGTTCGAAAGTAGATTCGCTGCTGCTGCAGCTGCCTGTATTTATAACACTTTTATTGCAACATCTGCAATGACGTCTAATTTCCACATTTTTCTTCTTCTTTCATTACATGACTTATTGCACCCTTCCAGCGATCAGCTGTGATGTGAAATAGCATTGCAGAGTTACGTATTTAAACGTGTTTTTCCTGGCCTCTTCACTTTGATGAAGGTAGCCTTGAAATTATGGCCACCATTTTTGGCCAACTCGTCATCAGTGGCCTGAACGTTGTATTTTGATACAATGCTAAGTAATTACTCTTAATCATTGTGCTGTCTACAGTTTCGTTCATTGCACGCAGCCAGTCAATAATTCGCTGCTTCCGCCACGAGTTTTTGGGAAGCGTATCAACTTTCACACTGCGATAAGGAGCGTTGTCCGTAACTACAACAGTTTGCTCCTAGTTTTGGCAAAATATCTTCAAACCATTCACGGAACTTTTCCCCGTTCATTATTTCTTCGTGTTAGTAACCCGTTTTCTTCGACTCGAAAACCAAAAGACCGCCTTCCACGAAACAATTTTCACTGCCGTTGTGGGTAACAATTAGCAATCTTCCTCGAGAACGATAATTTTTTAATCCTGATGAGTGCCCCTCCATGAATGCACATTTCTTGTCGTAAACGACGAATTGTTCTCAAATAATTTTTTCTCCTTAAAATAATGTCATCTCTATCCATAACATGTTTGTTCCTTCTCACAAATTTAAATCCAATTTCTTTGAGGATGCGATAAAATGACGTCCTCTTGAAATTGGATAAGTTAGCATCATCGTTGAAGTGAAAGAATTTTACTTGCAGTAGGCAAATAGTTTTTTAGGAAAACGTCTTCCACCGTACGCCTAATACAACTTTTCACGATTTCGTCACACTAGTCTTGCGCTGGTTTTGGTCGTCGTTTGTTCACGTGAGAAGTTTCCCAGTTACCTCTCATTACACTCGAGGTGGATACTCCCGTGTACCATGATGTGCGATTGTCAATCTGCTTAATGACCATTGAATTTTCTTCAGCCACGAGAGAATACATACACAAAACTATAGTTTCTTCAGCACGTGCTAACGGTTTTATTCTTAGGTTTTGTAAAAGAAGACCCTGCCACAACATCCGCCATTATAAAAAGATGCGTACGCATAAAAATTAAAACTTATTCGAAGATGCTGCGCCGATCTTGCCGCACTAAGCGAGTAAAAAACAAACAGAAACATCGCGCACGGGCCCCAGCGAACGCTGCGCTTGCAGTCGGCCGCCGATAAAACTCAGCACCGGACGATGGGTGTAAGGTTTCGTCACCGCCATTATTCCTCGTCTTCGAGCGAGACCGCATATTTCAGTGATCCTATTCAGAGTTCCCAGTAACCATTTTCTGCGATATTTCTGTCTACAATCTCTCTCTCCCATATCTCTCTTTCCTCTCTCTCCTCTCCTTCTCTCTCTCTCCTCTCCTCTCCTTCTCTCTCTCTCTCTCTCTCTCTCTCTCTCTCTCTCTCTCTCTCCTCTCTACCATCTTAAGTTTTCAAAGTTGCTTCTAAACAAGGAAATTTACAATTTCGGCAAGAATATTACCAGAACCGAAGCGTTCCACGAACACTCGCGAATCTAAGCAACCAATAAGAGGGTATAGTGAACACGTGTACTTGTTTACACCGGGATCATTCTAAGGCTGAACAGACCTTAGATACCGTAACAATGACGAAGTGTTTAGTTCATTTGAAAGAACCGCAGTATGTTAAAGAGTTCAACCGGCAGAGGCAGTGCAACTCAGAAAAACCCGCGAAATGAAAATAATTTATGAGAATTTACAGAGAGCCTGTAATCATGAAATGAGAAAGCGATTTTGCAAATAGAAGATTATGGAAAAGTCATTGAAAATCACGACGAATTACTACAATCTCAAAACGGTGCAGTATAATTAATAAAGCCTAGAGTCCAAATTGCCCCACGTGACATCTCCCGGGTATCTATTTGTTAACATTAACTATACAGGCACACAAAATAAAAAAGTTTACACACCCAGACTTATTCTTGCTTTTCTATGTATGTCGACGCTCTAAATTCGAATCTGAAGTCAATTCCGTCACCAAGCTCCAGCTTGGTGACGCCGAACGACGGTGACGAACGACGTGGTGACGACGACTCGCGAAACATACCATGACATTGTATTTTGTGTTTTGTTTTTTGGAGGATTATTGTCAGACCCAAAGACTTGACACATGCTTCTCTACATGAGGCGCTTATTCCAATTCCGAAGCTAGAGTTACGCCACTACCCTCCAGTTTTTGTTAACCTCGAAAAACCACCGTTAAATTGTAAATTTTGTTTTTTCCGAAAAAAAACAAAACAAAAAACGGAACTCTCTCTTTCTTTCTCTCCCTCTCCTTTCTTCCTTCCTATATGCGCGTATTCCTATTCCCCCACCCCCAGTTTTTTTAATAGCGAAAAACTGCCGTGAAATAGTAAATTTCATTGTTTTTTACGAAAAAGAAAAATAACAAAAAAAACGGATATGTCAAGTTTTGGGTCTGACAACCCACAAAAACAAAACAAAACAACAAAAAATACAATGTCACGGTGTTTTATCGTGAATAAAACTAGTGGTGCTAAAACAGCACATACTTTCGCGCCTTTAGTAGTAGTTATGAAATACTTTTTATATTAGTTATGTAATTCAAGTTTTTCATAAATTATAAAAATGGATGAATGTATAAAAAAGATAGCTACAAGGTTTTTGATTAAATTGTGTTGTTTGATAGTATGAAGGACATTTATACGACTGGTGCAGGTCTCATTTTCGTTGAAAACCCTGATTTTTCGAAAGTCGCAAAAAATTAAAACTTGTTTACATTCTAATTTTTACCCAGCAAAATTTATTTTTGTATTATATTAAATATCAGCTTTGCTGAAAATCTGGTTAATATCAAAGGTAAGAGTTTGTAGGAGTGAGGGTCTTTCCATTGCTCCAAGTACACCGAGGGAACTGCCAGAAGACTTAGTAAGAAACTTGTTTCTCGATTTGAATGAATCGCGCTACGCGCACGGTGTTGCCGATTCACAAATTATTCGTTTCTACCTTCAGTACACTTTTTTAACTGTCCAAACATTTTCTTACAACCTTACCGCGATCTTCTCACGCGCGTGTGCTCATCACGACTTCGTGCTTACACACGTCTTAGTTAACCATTGCTGTTTTTTCCGTCCTCAATATTTTTTGCTGACGGAAATTTTTGTTGTTCCAATTGTTTCTATTATTTCGGTGCTCTACTGTCACACTTTCTTTGCATATTGCTAATCCTCTTTTGTTATATACTTCGAATGTTCGAATATTAAATATAATTTAGTTTAAAAATAAATATCTCTTTATTATGAAAGATAATTGAAATAAATCAATTTATAGCATTTAATTGATCTCATTTCTCTCATTTTCCATAACTACATTAATTTACTGTTGTATTTCGCATTTCTTTTATAAAATAAATAAATTTAATGTCATTGAGATGACATGGTTCATCTCAGTAAGAAACTGAGGCGCCACTTTTCCACCTCACACGCTCAACGGAAGCGTAACGCAAGTGCTGTTCCCAACTCTTATCAGGCGAACATTAAACGACGCAAATTTCAAGTTAACGGCTGTTAAATATGCAGATAAGCCACGGACCAGACCACTAGATAGAAAATCTGGTGATACAGACTGTAATTCTCTTCCGCGTGTCAGATGAAAGATGAACGCAAATTCAACTCGCAAAACGTTCAAGGGATCATAAAAAGTACACTTCGATGCAACGGCCTCTCCCTCCGACTCGACCACAGGCATGCAGGGTTTTAAAACAAGTTACGAGCCGTCACAAGTCATGAATGCACACTGGCCACGAGCGTACAATTCTTTATCGATCTTACCTAAATCGATTTCTAGCCACCGGCTATTCTCAAATGGGCCTTAATGTTTCGCTTCGGTTGTCTACGCCTGTTGAAATTAAACGTTCGCAATAATGCTAACCTGCGTCCGTCGGCCGTCTCTCACGGTTAGACTCCGTCCCGTCCATCAGTGGAGACAAAGAGATGTCCATTCGATGCGACTCGGTCTCCTGGTGGGAAACTGGTGATTTTGTTTGCGCATCTTTCCGGGGGATTCTAAGCAATTTCCAAAAGCTGGTGGTTTTGCGATTTTAAGACAACTCAAACGTGTTTTGAGGGACCCACGGAGAAAATCAATAGCTCATGAATTACATTTAGTGCCTTTCCATCATAACGTCATTCCTTAAGTCATTATTCACGATATTGACATTTACAACTAATTATGTGAAGTGTTAACAAAATGCTTTCGCATTTTATTTAAATTTGGCGCCAACCTACAAAGAACAGTTATAAGCTCATCTTGACATAAATCCAGGCTCATCTAGTGCATTTTCAAGCATCGCGCGCTAGGTACCATTTTCAGGAAGTTCTAAACCCCCCAGGAAGACGCCATTCCGCATAAGCGTACTTTCTTGAAACGCGAGTCAAGAGCAGTAGCTGGTCGCAGTATTGTTTCCACGCGTTTAGTCAGAATCCATGTTTTATGGGTCCTTGATACCGAAAAATCGATTGACTGTAAAACGTCTGTCTGTGGACAACGCTAGAACATGAGCCGTTCACACGATATTTACTTCAAATGACATTCCTCGATGGATCTGAAGGAACTCCAGGTCCTGAGAGTTTGAAAAGGAGATTTTGATATTGGGGGTATTTGACATGAAGACTGAATTACATTTTCAAAATTTTCTTAAAAATGGTTACAAATTCTTTTAAACGGTGGGTAGCGTAAAGGACGCTTACTATAATGTATCTCATTGTAGTTGAAGTCAACGATTTTTTCGATACCTACGAAAGTTCATATTTTTTTCTGCAGTCTTCTATAATTACAATATTGAAGATACGTTTATTTTTCTTTTGTATCAGATCTTCAAATATTCTTGAAATAATTCAAATTCTTGAAATAAGGACATGTACAATTTTTAGAAATTATGAGTAGTTTTTGCGTAAATTTATGTGAAATTTAAGAGATTATTTTAGCAATTATTTTCTTAAAAAGCTGCTCAAATTCATTCTTTAAATTTCTTGTATGTTTCAAAGAAAGGTTAAAAAAAAAGTGGTGCTTGTTCCATTGCCGGCAAGTTTTGCAAACAAAAAATTAACATTGCGAAAGTACAATAGTAGATATTTGACTTCTGTTATAAAAACAATCAGATCTTTCAAAAGGGTTGGGTTCAAATTTTTGAAAAAAATAAGAATTTTTTAAAATTTCCGCTTGATATTCATGCCTTTTTTAATTTTCAAAAACCTTCCCAAATTTTTTTCTCTATTTTTTTTTCTTGTTCCTGGAATATAATAAGGAACATTTAAAAGAATGGTATAGGTTTTGTTTTCATTTAACTCTTTGAATTTATAAAACTGCAAAAGTTAGAAATATTGTGGGAAAGTATGTTCTCTTGTAGCACCGTTAATTTTCAAAACACCTGTCTGTCTGTAAGCAACACTAGCACCTAAACTTAGTTTTTTTCCAAAAATGAATCCCTGATCCATCTGGCTCAACTCAACGCGATCTAGTTTTGAAAAGAATTTTAGGGTGTTCTTCACGTAGTCCTTAGGACATTGTCAAAATATTCTCATTACACACAAAATTTCATTGTTCTATTTAAATGGCAAAAATTTTTGGTCTAAATTCCTTTAGATTTATTAAGTCAAAAACCAGTAAAAACTCTATGTGACGTATGGAGTGGAATATCATCTGCCCACATTTTCTTGAGTTCCAGAATCCCTTCCCATCATATTATCTATAAATATTTGAAAGATGACTAAAAGTTAAAGATACATAAATAAAATAAAATTTAAAAAAGCATGAGATTAGCAATATTACAAAAAAAAAAAAACTAGATATTTTCTTTCCCAAACTATAGAAAACTTATTTGCAACTGTAAATGAATTGCAGATATGATTTTTCTGCATTTGCTAACAAAATAGTAACTCGCCCTTACCTCTACTCTTACCATTACAAGCAAAAGGAGAGTTCAACAAAACGTGCGCATAGTGAAGCTAAATTTACATGCAGAAGCAAAACAAAGGGCCATTTCAGCATTTGCTCAATGTATGAGGGAAACTGGACAGAAACCTAATCGAGATGGGATGCATTGGCCCGGAAGCTGACGTACATATCTCTTAAAAAATTTTAAAAAAAATGTATATAACAAATGTAAACTAATTCATTAGATATCACTGTTTTGTTAAAATAAACATTATTTTTCTTTTTGATAATTAAGAATGCCAAGAATGTTACCTTGCTAAGTATGCCTTCTAAGAATGCTATGAAATATAGTTAACAAGATGGGTTAGGTCCTATTGTCACTGTTAACTCAGAATTTTTGAAAATTCAGAGTTAATAATCCCTTATTAGTTCTTTTGTTAATTAAGGTAATATACATTAAAAAAATTAATAGTTCTCATGCAATTGTGAATGAAACAGTGGCAATATTAAAAACAATAATTAATTTTAATGTTGGCTCCACATTTTTCTTCAAATGTTTTGTAAGCATAGTACTAAATGCACTGAATAAAATGACATAAAAGTAATTTTGATATATTATTTTGATTGTTATTTGTATGTAACATAAGGATCCTGTGATGCCTATCAACGCCATTGTCAGTTCAACTGATTTCGTGGAAACAAGAGACAGGTTTTCTTGTAAAAACTGTTCAAACTCAAACTTTGAAAGCAGAGTTCACTTGAATGAATGAAGTCTTGATGACATCAATAATGTATCAAACAGCTTTAGTTGTTTATCTTGATTTTTTGTTGATCACAATTTTTACATAGATTTTTCTTTCTTTTAGGGCATTTTAAAAACATTATAAGAGCATTTTATGGATCATTTTTGGCGACATTTTAGGTCATCAAAATCCACCAATACCAATACCAATTAGCACTACCAATTTTCATTGATTCTTTAGGTTGAAATGCATGCATTCTCTTTGCATTTTCATGTATCTTATTCTATCAATATTATCATGTATCTTTATATTTAAGAAAAGCTCTCAATCAAAAAATTGAGAACCTTCCAAACTTAGTTTTCCCCCCCATGAAATCCTGCATAATTGCTGACATGATTGTAGCAAGAGAAGGTGTGATTGTGGTAAGACAACTGAATTTTTTCTAATGTATGTTCTAGGGTGCACCTGTTCTCAGTCAGATTCTAAATTCTGACTGTCATTATGAATTCATTTGGAATACAAGCATAGTGTGTGATGATGACTTAGTTAAACTAACTGATGCTGTATCTGTGAGGATGCTTAATAATAGTCAGAACAATGTGTACATTGATTTACAACCTCTCTGTGAGATCGGCAAATATGAAGTAAGTACTTGAATTTTTAGTAATAGAAATATGACGCAGAATGTTATATAGAGTATTATGTAAGATTTAGGCATTTATTCAGAAATTCATTTGCAGTAGTGTGTCAATAAACCAGATTATTGGGACCATCCCATTTCCAGACTCAATTAGGCAGTATTTTCGAAAAGAGCTAAGGAAGGAACCAGTAGATCCTTCAACATAAAAAATTATAGATTTCTAAAATTGCTCTCGAATTGCTCTAGATGTAGGCTGCAACGGATGAATAAATCCATTCACACTGTAAACTTTCAGAAAAAAAATACTGACTTGCATTTATAGTATGACATGATGTCGTACTTGATGTATAGTACGTCTAGACCTACAACAAAATTATTGAGTACAAAAGCATACATATGTATACTTTTTTTATTTTTACTGCAATCAATAGTTTTAATACAATTGTTAGTTGTGTCAATTTTTTAAAACAAATGTACACATACATACCTGTGATATTTACTCCAACTGCTAAGAAAAACACAACATATATCACCCCCCTCCACATACAATCCACATCCCCCCCCCCACACACACACACACACTCCCCACGCACATCACACACCATACACCACATCAAACAACTACTCCTCTGTTTTTATTAGGGTCTAAATTCAAATTTATTTTTATTTCATAACCCTGATCGTTCTAGACAAGCTTATGCAGGTCAGCAGACTACAGCTGTCCATGGCAATTTTGAAGTACGTGTTACAGACAGGTCCATCACAGAGCAATACTTTTTTCAACTATTCATGAAATATTAAGATAAATATTCTTGTATTTAGTACAAGATTAAATTCATCTAGTTCTTTATCTTTAATTCTTCAAATAAAAAAATAGCACGGTCATATCATTTATAGATTTTAAAGAAAGGGTATTTTTTGTGAATTTTGTAATCAACTATATCTAAAATCTTGACAATGAATTAAGGCTTAATATGTATATTTACAGCTTCTAAAGCTTTCACCAAATTCAAGGCTCTGAAGTGGTCAAGAAAAAGGATGTAAATTAACAAACAAATATGAATAAACAGAATTTCTATTATCTTTTATTGTCCTGCAAAAAGAATTAACAGGGTTTAGGACGGTTTTTGATAATACTTTGACCAAACTAAATATAATTTAAAGTAATGTAATTTGTCCATGAATCAATGTATGCAAAAATATTGATCGATAAACACATTTTGGTTTAGAAATAATTGAACATTTTCATGTGTTTTTGTTTTTATTTGTTTGTAAAATTAATCAGGTATTTTTTTTCTTTTCTTTTAAGGTGGAGAATTTTGTGATAAGTATGTGCAATCAGAACAGCCTTTGTGATGTACAGAAAGTGGATGCACACAAAAATATTTCCTATGGAAGAGCTGAATATGCTGTATTTACTTACTCTGAGAACAAAACTAAGCTATTTATGACTAATGGTGATGATTGTGAAGCTTCTCCAGGTACAAGATAATACAACTTTTTGTTTTGATAAAATTGCTCTTCATATGTCCATTTCATTGTTTTGTGTTTTAGATAAATATCGGTCAACTCTTCATTTAATTTGCTCTCCAAATGCCATTGAAGATCTGCATGTTTTGAAGGTAAGTTAATGCAGTGATAACTTCAGTAATTAAGATAACAGTTTGCTTTAGAAATATGTTAAAGGAATTATTTTTGAATCTGAGGTCCTTGATTTCATTTTTCTTGTTATTGCTACATAAACTCATTCTTAATTCCTAAGAATAGTAATTGCATTATGTGCAAAGTATTTTTTTTTTTTTTTTTTTCTGTATTACACGACTTCAATGATAAAAAACTTCAGGAATTTGTTTAATGTGATTCAGTTGTTTGCTGTTTTTTCCTTTGTTTTGCTGTAATGGCTTTGAATGATTGGAAGTGTTGTAGAGAAAAGCAATGCTGCATTGACCTAATAATGGTTACCTGTAGGATTCATATTTTGCAAATAGTGCAGGTAGAGCACAAAATCCCATTAAAGAGCCTTCAAGATCGTACTAAAGTGTAGTAACAGAATTCATGTATTTACTATCGCAGTACTGTAAATTTTCACAAAAGTCGTGAGATTTGATGGTGACCGATAAAATACTGAACATACAACAAAATGCTAAAGTTTTATTACTGCCTAGACCAAATTAAAAATTGAAATTCACTTACGCTCCGCCTCGTTTTTTAACTTTTGGCCTCTGCAGTAATAAAACTCATAATATTTCTAGGTATGTTAACAGCTATTACCGTTATGGTAATTTGTTCTTGTAAAATTAATTACGTACAATAAATACCCGACACCAGATCTTGATTCAAATCATGATCCCATACTGGTTAGCTTTAATGCTGTTCCATACAAAAAAATCAGTTTTATGAGGGAAAATTGAAAAAAAATTCCATAAGTATAGCGCAATTTGACAAATACCCATCCAAATTGACAACAATTAGCTAAACAAACTTAACAAGAGAAGATTGGCAATTCAATACAGTTGTCAACAATAGCACAAACACATCAAAAAATTAAAACAACCCACTATCAAGAGAAATCAGTAAATTAATAACAAAACAGAGCTCGTAGAATGTTGAAAATAAACAGTAGCCCCCAAATCAACAAAAATTCAATGTTTATTTATTTACTTATGTCAAAATAGTTAAAAAAAACTGTGTGTGATGTGCTATGGGGAGAAATTAATTTGAAGTTACATTTATGTCCAAAACTAGGGGTCATCTCAGCATTTGCTCGAGGATCAGGGAAACCAGATGAAAACCTGAACGAGATGGGGGTCATTGACCCAGAAGCTGAAGTACAATACTTGTTACAGGTTCTTTAGAATTATACAACCCAAATGATAAATAATTCATTAAATGTCATTGTTAAAATTAATATTACTTTCCTTTCGGATGCTCGGTATAGCCTCTAATTGTTTAGAAACAGTTGTGCAGCAAACATTTACTTGGCACTTTTGTATCGAATTTAATCGTTTAATGTTAACTGGCAAGGTGTTGTAATATAATGTACATGCATTGTATGTGATTTTTTCTGTAGCGAGCTGTGGATACTGTCACTTTATGAATATGATTACTACGTCGAGTGTTGCGGTTATAGGCGTTTGCTAAAAATATATTCTCGCCTTTAAGTCAGTTTGGACAAAAACCGCTGATTCATATATCGAGAGACAAGATAATGGTGAAATACCTATATTAATAAAGAAAGGCTTACAAGGATCACGTGGGTGATATTTGCTTATTATTCGTACAATTCGTTTTTGTAATATAGAAGTCTAGGAGCTGTAAGATGTATTTCCTCAGAATATTATGCCATATCTCAGGCGGGAATGAACATTCGCGAAATATACATAAGCACTATGGAGGCTGACTGAAATTGAAAGAATTCCACAAGTAGCATAAAGAACGTAATTTAGAGTTAAATTCATTTAAATGGACGTTCCTTTTAAGGTTTGTCTGAATTGGAAGACCTAAAAATTTTGTTACCTTAACATTAGCCAATGGCTCACCGTTTATTTTCAACGGAGTACAGAGGTGTTTATTTGAAATGGAAAACTGCATTGAAACAGTTTTATTATCATTTACCATTAATTTGTTATTACGGGACCAATTTGAATTATCAGATATTTTACTATTCACGGTTTCTTTTATTCCAAAGACCATTCGTGTCATCCCCGAAGAGAACTGTTCTTCCGTTTCGAATCGTCGAGAGCATATCTTTTACAAATAGTAGGAAGAGAATAGGGCTAGAGAATAAGCCGCAAGGCAGCAGCATAATATAAAAACATTTATAGATAATAAATTCCCCTTCTTCGCAGGGTTACTGTGGAGGGGACAAAAATGAGAAAAAATAGGGCTTATAATCGATCCCTGCAGGACTCCACATGCAGAATTGGCATAGAATCGTAAAGGCGTGTACATAAAGTTCCGTTATTCCAGTGAGGTATTTCTACTCCCCGAGATCGTTGTTTAAGGAACGAACATAACCAATCTAGAGCAATAATTCGAATTCCATTCGAAGGTAATTTTGAAATGAAAACGTTATGATCAATGACGTCAAAAGATTTTTAAAGATCTAAAAATATTCCAAAACGTGCTTAGTTTTGATCCATGGATGAGGCGACATCTTTTAAGAAACGAAAATATAGCTGTTTTCGTAATTTTGATTTTCGAAACCCTTGCTGGCAATCTGATACAGGTCGTGTTTATTAAGAAAGGTTTCCATTCGCACGTAAAATAGCCTGTTTATTGTTGCCCCAGACCCTCTCCCCTCGTTTTAGCGTTACGTAATTTATGGACGACCTCCAAGTACGCTGGGTGTAATGAATCGCTGTACATCCGATTCACAGCACAGGCGAGGCGGCATTTCAGAATGAGTCATTAATCCACGTGAAGAATCGAATCCTAAACGGCGCGATGTTTTGAAATAGGAACGGAACAAAATTAATACAAAAATAAATTAACAAATGGACAATTTACAATTAATTTAAAATAAAAATGGCTGTCAGGGTATGTTACACACCACCCACATCCATGGATGCTATGACCCTGCTGCGGATTACTTGATTGTTTAATATTTACATCCGATTTTACGTTAATATTACGATTGCCACAGAGTTAACAAACTACTACAGATCGAGTTTTTCGTCGAAACGATATAGAAAAAAAAGAGAAACTTTGGACAATGATTGACTTCTCCAATGTGGAGTATGTTTGTGCTGGAGAGAAAAATGCAAGAAAATTCAATCCTTCATGGAAAATTCATACAAATCTCTCACAGGTAGTTAAAGTTTAAGCCAAGTTGTATTGTTGTCTGTCTTTTATAATTGAGGAAAATACTCTGAATAAAGATGAATATTTTGACATGACAAATTTAACAAAAGCCATACAAAGACATGAAATGTCAAAAGATTACATAGGCAATTTGGTGAATCTTAAATGCTTGAAAAAATTTGAATAATGTGTCTGAATTATTGTCAGAGCAACACAAACTCTCGACACTTGTAGGATCTAAAGATCTTGAAATCAACAGCTCATTAACGGAAATCCACCGACAGTACATGTACTTTACTTTACAGTGCATTGCCAGATGCCATTAAACAATTGAAGTCTGTACACAAATTTAATTTAAAAGTAATATCTTTTCTGGTGCATAACTGTTTCTATACAATTAAAGACTATACTGATCATCCAAAAAAAAAAAAAAAATTAATTTAAAAAAACAGTGATATATAATGAATTAGTCTACATTTGTATTGTATATTTTTTTTAAAAAGACTTAATATACTTGTAACAAATAATCTACTTCAGCTTCCAGGTCAAGGACTCCCATCTTGATCAGGTTTTTGTCCAGTTTCCCCGATATATTGAGCAAATGCTGAGATGGCCCCTTGTTTTGCTTAGGACACAAATGTAGCTTCACAATGCGCACGTTTTGTTTAACTCTCCTCTTGCTTGTTGTGGTTGGAGTAGAGGTAAGGGCAAGTTACTATTTTGTTAGCAATACAGAAAAATCAAATCTGCAGTTTGTTTATTGTTGTCTGATATCTTCAAAGTAATGCAAATTGTTCTCTTAAATTCCATTTAATTACATTTTCCAACACACCCTCCTGTTTATAGTAGAATCCAGTACACTACCAATTACTTTTTATTTTATTTTATTTTTTTTTGACACTCCTGGCCTCCAGAAAAATAATTAACTCAAAGAAGTCTAAAGAAAATAACTTATTAAATACAGGACACATTCGATATTTTAGTTTCTTACACTAGTAAGGCATTCATCCTGTGGGTTGCTTATTTTGCAGTAAATATTCGAAAAGGTATTTAAGTGCTTATCTGAATTACTAAAAGCACTTCAAATATTGTGCAAAGCTAAAGAGTTAACCAGCATGGTTCAGTACCATTGAACCTTAAGTTACATGTTGATTATCCCATTGATACGTTGAATAACCATGGGCAATCACTATTGTTGAATGTGAATTGTTTGTTACAGTTATGACTTCAATATATTTTCTATAGTTATTAAATGTTTTTTTTCCCTCTATTGGAACATTTAGTATTTAATATGGATATTGCTTGTCGGGCTGATAGCCTGAGGTCCAATGGAAATAATTATTCTATATATTCTACAACTACATTGCTTTATTTAGAAGTTCTTTTAATATGAAATGCCAAAGAATGAAAATTAGTGTATAAATCTGAAAGAAGAAACCTTCAGGAATTCCAATCGAATAAAGTTCGGAGAAGGATATTGTAGGTTTTTGGTTGATACAAAGACAATTTTTACAAAACATTTTCATTACAAAGTATTCATTATTTACAATAATTTACAACAAATAGCTGCTGCAATGCCTTATGATCTAGATGCGTATTGAATTATAGTTTTGGTATTGAAATAATTGTATTATATGGCACAGGTACAAAATAACTCCCGTCCCCCATTTGTCAGTTTTACCATTTTTCTTAGTGTAGGTATGACTTATGAAATGAAAAATTAATGTAAACATGTGTCAATAATAAGAATAGGGCGATTGTCACTAACTATAGTAATAATTTAACTCGCAGGTACCCTTTTTTCTTTTTTGACAATCAAACAAGTTTTCAAAAAAAAGGTTTATTGACAATGTAATGCTAGAACACAACGTTTAATGTCATATTTATATGAATCGTCAGGTGTCAACAATCAATAAATATATTAATTATGTCTTGGAAAAAACATGAGACAAATTTTGAAGCAAAATTTTGATTTTCAGTGATAAATTTTCTCCCATTTATTTCTATATTTTGTACTTGGTGTACATTATTTTTATTGTACTTGCTTTTTCTATCATTTCATCTCCAATTACTGTGCATTTTTGACATTAGATACTTTTATTCTTAACAAGATCATCAAAATGTATTTGTCATTTTCAGACAAATGCATTATTAATTCTTCACAGCAGAAGATGCGAATAAATATTACAGAAGACATAGTGTTCCAGCATTATAAGGACACAAACATATTTTTGAAAACATGTTCATTGATTGTCAGAAAAGAAAAAAATGTATGTTTAGGTTAAATTATTCAAAATTAATTTGATGCAGCTCTTTACTTACCAAGTAATAGCAAATAAAATAGTCACAGCAATAACTGGTGGACTGAATTTCAGATTCCAGGAATTTTGTGGGACTTTCTACTAAGCGTAACTATACAGGCACTGTTTCAATGAAAACAGTATATTCTTAATCAGGTACTTTGACATTCTTACCGAACATTCTTAGCATCTTGTCTTTTGTCAGTTTTTTCATTACGGAGTTATCACTTATTCACAATCACTCGACTTTACTGAGATTTCACATGCACCATTTGCAAAACCATTGTTTGTGAAACCATTCAGTTCATTTAATATTTTGCATCTTTTATTTGAGAGATTATTTATTACCTCTAAAGGATTTATTGCTACTTCAGCTGGTGGTGTTGATGACTTTATTATCGCAGATGAATTTATTAATTCTAGTTTATCTGGACCGCGTGATTTTTTCAATGCTGGTCTGCGCTGATGGGGAAGTGCGTAACGAAGTTTGTCCCAAAACCATGGGTCACCCCATTTCACATACGTATTTGTACTTAAATAAGAGCGTAACTCAGAGTCTAGTTCATCTATAGGTCCCAAATCTCCATACACCACAACTATTACACGTGCTCTTTTTTCTGAGAGCGCTTGTTTATGTGCAGCACGGAACTCAAGCCGTCCCCATTCGCTTTTAATGAAGTTTTTAGAAAGAATTACAACAGTGCGTTTGGATTCATCTACGGATCTAGTTATCTGTGTTGTAATGAATTCGCCTACTATCCAGTCTCGATAGTGAATACATATCTTGTATGGAGGGGTGCCATTTTCCAATTCAGGCAATAGCTTGGTTGCCACAAAATCTTCATCTTGGTGAGAATAGCTGATGAATGCATCATAAATTTTGTCTTTGTCTAATTCTTCTTCAGTGACAAACCATAAACACATGTTGTGGGCATACAACCAAACTTTGACTTCATTTTGATAACGGAAGTAAAGGGCAGCAAGTAATCCTCCTAAAATCCCTAATAAAGCTGTAATTGAACTAGCGACTATTATAATTGTCTGATCCACTGGACATATCTCTTCTGCTATTAGCAGAGCAATAGGATTTCCTTCTTTACAAGTAATATTGTAGAGATTTTTCACCTAAAACAAGAACAGTGCTATCTTCAATGTTATATGCAACCAAGATATAGATCTTAAGATCAGACTTTTCACTTAAATATTTTCTTACCTGTCTAAAACTGTTTTGAAGAAAACCAAGAAGATCTAAGGCTTTGCAATCACAATTCCATGGATTGCTATGAAGTGATACATTAGTTCTATTAGTTAGAAATTCCAAAAGAGAAGAATTCATTCGCGTCATGTTGTTGTGATCCAACTTCAGCTCCTGAAAATTAGACAATCAACTTTATTCCTTTTAACAGAATGCATAAGCAAAATTATATTTCCCAATTATATGCAGTTAAAAAAATGTACCTTCAGATTTTTTGGTAGAGCACCATCTTCAATCCATGAAATATAGTTGTGGGATACAGACAAAGTTGTTACATTTGTCTTATTGAGAGAGGTATTTAGAGATAGTGAATGCAGCGAGTTGTTGTCTAGATACAAATCCATTAACAATTTATCTGGAAATGTTGGATTAAGTAATTCTTGAGGAATTTGTGTCAGACTGGCCCCTGTGCAGTTCACTTCAAGATGCTTTGCAGCTATCCAATGAAAACATTGACATTGAGTGGGACACTTGTTGGAATGTTGCCATTCACATTTGAAAGTGAGTGAATTTAATTTCGATATTGGATATCCAGCCAAAGGTGGAGGTCCTCTACATGACAGTGTATTAATAATCATCCTTAGTCTGTTGTATGTAATTGGTTTCATCCTTTTTTCTTGGTATCTAAGAACGTCGTAAATTTTGCAATTGCATTCCAATTCATTTCCGGTTAAATCCACCACTAACATATCAGTAGAAGCCTCCTCAATTGCAGTTTGTGAATTCATTAATTCCAGAAAAGAGAGATTTAGTGTTGCAATTTTATTGTACTGCAGGTTCACAAGTATTCGAGGAGAGAGGAACTGCAGATCTTGTGCCTAAAAATGATACATGTTTATTATAATTATTACACAAGTAAAAAAATATTTTAAAAAGTTTAAGAAAATTTAGAGCCTTACACTGATATATGTAAAGTTGTTGTAGCTTAGATTCAAGGAGTGTAATTTTCTGAGAATCCACATCCAGTCACTGAACATTGTTCGAATGTTATTGTGAGATAAATCTAGTTCTTGCAGATTGGGGCAGTTAGATATCGGAGAAGAGTCATATCGTATAAAATTGTTGAATGTGATATTGTTATGAGACATAACAAGAATTTGCAACTTGGTCATGGTTTGAAATGCATAATGGTGAATGTCTTCTATATTATTATTGTTGAGGTAAAGTGATTGTAACTCGTGAGGTCCTTGAAGTAACTCTCTAGTTAAACAAAAAACAAATTTCATACGTTTTGTTAAAAGCAAGGTGTGCATATACAAATTATTATAAAAATATATATATATATATATATATATATATATATATATATATATATATATAAGTATTAAACACCTACTTACTCATTAATTGAAGTCAGTTTGTTTTTTTCTAAATGTAAAATTTGCAGATTCTTGAGAGATGCAAAAGGAGATCCATGAATGGAAGCTATTTTATTGTTGCTTATATCAAGCTCTTTTAGATACTCTGTGTCTCGAAATAATAATTCAGGTAATGTTACCAAGGAATTTCTTGATATGTCCACTTTGGCGAGCTTGGATGTGTTCCAGAACATGTCCTCGGGTACAGTAGAAAGATTACATCTACTAAGAATAATTTCATTAAGCTGGGGTAGATCGGCAAATAATCTGCGTGGAATTTGGCTAAGTTTGTGGTTATTCTGAAGTTTCACCAGTTCAAGTTTCTTTGTGGCTGAGAAAATTTTTTCTGGGAGAGATGTAAGATTATTTTTGACAAGGCTCAAAATTTTTAGATTTTCCATTTCCATGAATGTGTCAGGTGATATGTAGACAATTTCATTTGCAGTAAAATCAAGAGAAGAGATGTTTTCAAGACCAATGAACATATCTTTTGTTAGATTTGAGATTTTGTTTCCCCATAGTGTAAGGAATTCCAATTTTTTCAAATCCTTAAATGTGCCTGGCAGTAATTGATGAATGTTGTTTTCACCAATATCTAATTTTTTAAGGCTTATTAACCCAGCTAATTCACCGTTTTGTAGAGTGATATTGTTTCCATGCAAATCTAAATTTGTTAAATCTCTCATGTTTTGGAAGAGCTGACTAGGAAGTTCTGTAAGAAAATTGCTGGGTAGGAGGAGATGAGTGATATTATCAATTTTATGGAAGTATTGATCATCAATTGTCAAATTCCCCAGTCCATGGTCAATTCTGATTTTTTTCATACCAGTAATATTCATATTTGCTAGAAAAGTAGACAAAGACATTTTTGGCATTGGACAAGACTGAATGTCCAGAAAATTGACGTAACCGATGCTGATGCCATTTAGCCATTCATAATTCACATCGTGACTGGTGCATTGCAATGTTGCTCCATTATTTGTATTCACAGAGATTTTCATTAGGGCTTGCCAATGATTGTTCAAGGAAGACATTCTGGGACATTCAAAAGAGAAGCCAGCTGGTGTGCACTCAATTCTGCTACAGTTTTGTAGTTGCAAATTCTGACATAAATAGTTTGCTTCATTGTAATTCACAATCAGAAGCTGCAGCAGCATCAATTGCAGTGACAGTTTCCACGTGCTGATTGCAACCATCTGAAAAGGGGAAAAATACATATCATTAATATATGCTCATATTTTATTTAAAATGTTGGGAGAATGAGAACACTTAACAAGGCAAAAAACATATTAAAAAGATATGTTCACTGTTGGTGGGAGAGGGTTTACCCCACAACTGTCATAAAAACTGATTAGAGAGAGTTATTTTTTTCAACCACACCCTAACACAATTTCTTTGTATCACTAGTTAAGTATTAAATGAGTAGTTTAAATTAAAAAAACCTTCCTTGTAGTTTTGAGTTAATGGTGTTATGCACACATGAATGTTATATCCCAATACATAATGAAGATCAGGGGCGACTGGAGTATGTGGGACACCTTGGTCCAGGCTCCGACTTAATTGTGCCTCGGATTTGTTTAATTCAAAAGAAATTAAAAACTGTATTAATCTCTAATCCAAAATTTAATGTCGTAAGTTATTTGTGTTGCACGGAGAAATGAATTGTATTGATGAATTCGGGGAGGAGGGAATTTTTTGTTTGGAATGAGAAGCCTCGTGAATCAACCCCCTCTGGGCGCCCCTGATGAAGACGCCACGTTGTATGAGCGTTATAATGTCAGGCTCATGCCCCACCCCTCAACAACAGCAAACGTTAGTTTCGGGTCTTCAGCTTAAGAAAACTGCATTAGAAACTGCTTCGGTCGTACAAGTATACAGAGGAGCAAGGAACACTCCCAAGGAATCAAATTTTCTTCATGTTGCTGTGAGGGGTACATTGCGAGGAATACTGATGTAAAATGTTATTGCATTTTGATGAGATCACTATTGAAATGTTGTTCGTTCATGTGGGAGGTATTTTTTTACTAGGGAAGTGATTAACTAATTTTTAAGAGATTATTTCCGCGTAGAAATGGTACCATCTTTAGTATTGGTCGATGAGCGATGCGTTTCCTGCTAGGCTCTCGTATCTTAAACGAGACTCCGCCCCGGCGCATTGGGGTGCACGGGAAAGGTCGCGGCCGTGGGGGCGGGCAGCTGACTTGGTGCGGCCGAGTCGAAGCTGTGTTCTCCAGCCAACCAGGAAGATGGGAAAGATTGCCCAGCTCGAAAATTCGGAGCACTGGATTTCACGGACTGGCCGTCCAAAAGCCAGCGAAAGCTCATGCCTAAGAGCTACTGACATGTCCTCATCGTTGAATTTTCGCTAAAACTTCCACTTCGCTCTACTAGCGTAGCATCACAGGAATATAAGGGTATATTTATGTTACCCCTGCCATATTTTGCTTATTTCATTCTAATATTATTTTAAAAATTCGAAGTCAAGGTTATCTTCAGTTAAGTTTTCGGGAACGCGATTTTGTCTACCAGTTTGTCTTTCTTACTTGTGGTTTCTCCGCCTGTACGACAATCCGTCCCCTACTCCTCAGTAAAGTGGCTTTTCATTCTATAGTTTTAATTTGTTCTGTAATGTGACGTATATCCATGGGGGGTGTACTATTACATTTTCCCTGTAACATCGTTCACCTGTAGACCCCATACAAAGGTCGCAATGCCATGTGTAACAAGTAGAATACTTTTTTAAATTCAAAAACTGTCTATTTTATCGGGCTTACAATTTTGTATGAAAATTAATCACATAATAGAAGCTAATTATTTGAAATTAAGTTTCTTTGATGAGTTTGGATATTGAAGGGGAGAGCAATGATTCGCAGCTCAGCGACTAATATTTTTGGTGACTCTCTTTGGATTTGAGAACGTTTTTGCCTTTATATCTTTGTTGTACGAGCAAAATAGAAGGAGAAAAAAGAAGGGAAAAAAAGGAAAAAAAACAACAACAAAAAACATACTGCTGATGAAAGGCGACACAGACGTTTCGAAGTATGAGATTAATCAAAATTTTCAAGATTTTGGAGTCACTATAATGTTGATTAAAAAAAACAATAATATTGAATAATTGATACATGATTGGACTTTCATGACCTATTACAATCTGAAACAACGATCATTTCAGTTACCAAGAAAGAAAAACATAATGTCTTCGTTAAATTCTGGATAAATCGTTGGCTTACTAATTTTATACACTAAACTTTTTTCAGCGATAAGAAATGTTGGTATTAATGACCAGACAAGTTGCCAAAGTTGGTAAAAATCGAACAAAACGTTATGTGCCCTTTTTAAAAATGGAGCATTCAACAAGGAAGCATATTTCATGATTAATTTTTTGTGGCGTATTCTTAATTCTGTATATTTTAGCACCACAAATCCGCTACATTTTGGATAGAATGGACAAAATTACTATAGTATTAGTTTCAAATTTAGTTTTCTGAAAATAATCCCTCGCAAACAAGATAAATAATACCATTCCCTGAAACAAATCGCCAATGTTTCGCTAATGGTCAAAACTTGTCCCACGAGTCTGTCCGAGATGTTGCGATGGATGCACCGCGAGTTATGGACACTGCTACTCTCACATTAAATTTGTTTGCCCACCCCTTCAATGTTGCTTCCGTCTGTGGTTAATAATAATAGACTAATAATAGACTAACAATAAATGCACACGTATCCTTAGTTCAAAAACGAACCTCTCCACTCTCTCTCGAAAGTATTTTATTTGTAGAAAATTCGGTTGAGAAATAACGTGATGTAAATGTAATTTACAATTTTTTAACGAAACTTTTCTCTAATTCGCCAAACATTATCTTACGAGCTAAAAACTTTTCTCATTAGAAAACAAAGCAATGATAATCCAAAAGGTCTTACTGCAGTGTGATATGCTACGCGATTATGCCTTCCAATTAATAACAAATACTCTCCTATAAAATTTACTTCAACTAAATTTCAAACATTTTTAACTTTGTGATGTTACATTTTGTTACACGACATCATTATATTGCTGCTTATCGTAGAAAGATAATCGAAGGGGGAGGCGCCAGGGAGCGCATTTAGATCAGATAATCTCATCTAGATGTAGAATTGAAATTTTAACTTCATTGTTAAGGGTGTTTCATTGTTCATTGTAGGCTCTTACACGGCAGTACAATCATCCAGTTAATTGCACCGTAATTACTCGTTCATTTGCATATATAAAGGGTTTTTACAGATGTTAATCATAATTTTTAAAACAATTCAAGGAAGGGGGAATATTTTGTTTTTCAAGGAAACCACGGAAAAACGTATAAAATAATTCATATCAAGGGAGGCACGAGCCGAAAAAGTTATAAAACGTGCCTTGGCAAATGGTATCATTGCCTTGAGCTTCCACAACCGCATCCGCCTTTAGTCACACATGTGCAGAGGTGGCATCGTGACGCTAGTGGACGGGTTAGTAATCGTCTCCGAGGCCTTATGAACTGCCATAAGCTCCAGAAATATCTGTTTAATGTGAGCTTATAGTACACAGTATATAACTTTATTCACCACCTCATCGATATTTATGGAATAAAATAAGCCAATTTTCGTTGGTATTTTATAGTCTGATGGAAACAAAGAATTTTTTGAAAGCTCTGCGACTGTCACTCGACAAAAGTTGGCTGCTAATAGAAATGACCTTTTAAATAGGGTTCGTAGGTTATACACAATGACTACACTAATTACCATTTGCTATGCAATAAAGACTACTATCACTTACTACCCCTGGCTTGTGTAAAAAAAACCCTTGACTAGTTTCTCATTCTCTCACTTTCCGACGTCGCCTAATCAGAATCAGGAACAAACTAGACGCTCGGACGTTTCACGTCTTTTAGAACTCCAAGGCAGAACCGTCGTATGAAGAGGTTAGCAAGTGCACTTCAAATAGGTTCCCTGACCACGGCGTGCAGGTCGTTGACAAATTTCCAGAGTGATGATGAACTTCGTGCAACAGTAGGGGATGATAAAATTCGCGAGAATTCTGCGGGAAGGGCAAAGCTTACGCATTTTAATTCCATCAAGATATCTTCGTCAAAATCTGTTGTCTAAATAAATATAAAAAATAAAACTGCTTTCCCCTGCGAGACAAAAGCCTGTAGATGTAAGAAGTAATGACAATCTGAGGAAGACAAGTCGCACGAACATACAGAATCAACGGTAATCACTGCCACTTTTCGGCTTATATTACAGCTTAAAATTGTTAATGTGATCGTCTAATACAGGTCAATGTATGAAATGTGCCTGCCCGCAAATACAGGTGGCGGGTTTAAGGAAGGAATGTTTACACGTGACTTACGAAAAAAATCAAACTATTTCTTAAAGAAATTGCTGTTAACGGAGGTGATCGCGTAATCAAGGCTACGGTAAAGCTCACTGTAACTGATTTAAGTAGTGATAAAATAATGCTTTTAGATTTGTCAGGCTGTACTTTGATTTTTAAATTAAAGACACCATATTGACTTCAAATCACTGCTTGATATCCATGCATAAATACACGTAATACATAAAACAGCACTTTGCTTTATTTCAATACATAAATTATTAATATTCCGTCTTTTGCCTTTAAATTAGTGGTTTTATATTAATATTCTGTCTAATTTAAAGGCTAAATTACAGTAATTTGAAAAAGAAAAAAATAATCTTACAAATTTTCATGGTTTTAGATCGCGACTTATTAAAATTGGTCAACATTGACTTTAGTTCCGATATTATTCATGTTCGGCCATAGTACCCGTTATTCTTGTAATTACTTTTTTTTTTGCCAAATTGCTTCTCGGCGTTCATTTTGATGCGTTGTTACGTGCGGTCGCTGCACTTTTCATCATTCTGTCACTCAAGGTGCGAATGTGGGCGTAAGGAAGGAGCTGCCGCTGTTTACGTGCACGTAGCTGCATTCCGCCACACACGGATGGAGCCGAGCGCCCCACATGCGCCCGGCCGTCCTCGCAATGACGTCACCCTGGCTGCGCGTCACGGGTGCCGTCCCGCGCGGCCTCACCGGCCTCACCGTTCACAGTTTGTTCAATTGTTGTTGTTGTTTTTGTTGTTGGTGGTGGTGTTGGTTCCCTCGCTTCAACTGTGCGGAGAAAATCGTCCTCGTCAACGCGCATTCGGTGTGCAGCGTCGTACTCGTTCCTACAATTGGAAATCTCTCGGAATCTTTAGTAATAGAAAATGTATAAATGATTTCGATCAATATTCTGTTTGGATTAGATGTGGGATGTTAGTTCCTGGTTCGGAAGATTCTCTAGTCATGTCTTGATTAAAAGAAATGACCAAAAGAAAACTAAGATTGTAGTGTGTTCTCGATTTAGAATGTTGAATACACATGTGCAAGAAAGTTGTCTTTTACGGAGTGATGTCGGGTTCGAAAGTAATCCAGGATTTGTGATCTTTTGTATTTTTTTTATATTTGTTTCGCATCGAAATTATTAAAACAATTTTTAATAGTAACGTTTTTTAATCTTCTACTAATGTCTTGAATCCTAAATTTCCGAAAGGTATATCTCTTTACTCGTGAACGAAGTATACATTTAAAAAAACAACAATGATAGGAATCCTAAGAATGGTCTAACTAATTTCGGAAAAGTCCCGCTGTTATTCAATCTTCGAGCAAGAAGAGAGAGCCCCCCCCCCCTCCAAAAAAAAAAAAAAAAAGTTTTAGAATCTCAAAGCACTGCTCGAAACAAACGTAGCAGGGGACCCTTTGCTTTAAAAAGAAAGGGAAGATTTACTGCTGAGCTGCTGATCTCCGTCAGGTTGAAAACTTTAAATCTGTTGGCCATTTACTTATTTATAAAATATTCTGTAAATGATTCAGATGTAAACTTTTTCCTAAAGGAAACTTATCTTTTAAAAATATTGCATTAAATTAACAAACTACGATTGTTTACATTTTGCAAGGAAAATGATTAAACACGATGCTCGAATACGACCTGAGTAGCGTCGTAATTGTGCTTGTCCGAGAGAGCTGAGTTTTGGATTCCGCAGTGGCAGCGGCAGCCCCAGCTGCGCTCGCGGACGCAACGACTGCGGAGGATGACGCGCCATTCGTCATTTCCGAGAGCTCGCTCGGGGGCGCCTGCGGAGGGCCCGGGCGGGGGTTTACATTTCGTGCACTCTCCGGACGGTTTCACTAGCCACTCCCAGCGGGCGGATTGTTTATTATGTAAAACACGAACAATGCGATAAAAGAATTCCAATCGTACTGTGATAACTTACATCTCTCGCGAGGCATACAATCTGTTTCGTAACATAATATCTTGCAAGGAATTTGAAGGATACATGCGTAATGAATGTGCCGGAGGCCAACTTTTTGTCGCTGGACCGAAACAAGCAGCAAACACACATGGCTTACTTTTAAGATTTTTCGACGAACTTTTGTCCTTGAAACAGTTCAAATTCCTTGCAGAACTGGGACAAAAGGAATAATTAATATGCAGATTTGTTTGCTCGATCGGTCTAGCCAGTGTTGCGTATGTTAAGAAACTTTTGACAGAAGCAGTGGCAGTGGCAGTGGCAGTGGCAGCGACAGCGCGCGCGATCGGCCAGGACAGCTTTCTCTCCGTGGGAGATCCTTGTTGCGGAAACGTGGACGCGGTCGCCCGCCAAACCCGCTCGCGCCTCTTGGCCTTACCTTGTCTAAGACTTCGGCGCTGCTGGCAGAATCACCTTTCCATTGCTGCCACCTCGTCCTTCACGGTGTTTTTCCTTGAAGCCCCGACGAAATGCCGCAGTTGGCGGGCTCGTAACCGCCAGCAAGACGCACTGTGCACGTTGTCACATTCACCACGCACGTCACCGAATCGGTGCACCGAATGCACGAGGTGCCACGAGACCGCGCAGCGCGCTTCGCAATCGCTCACGCCCCTCTCGCCAGCTCGGCGCTCTGCCTGCGACTGACCGCGGCGGCGGCGGCGGCGGCGGCGGCGGAAGAGAACGGAGCGAGAGCGCGCCGCGGCGGGAGGTGGGGGAGGAGGAGGCAGAGAGGGAGGCGGTTGCCTGCCGCAGCGCGGCACCGCCGATCTCTCGCCGGCCCCGCGCCGGCCACTGCGAGCCTGCGCAAGGCTCACTTCACGTTTTGGGCCAACTACTTCACATGACAATCCCTAAAATATAAGTTAAAGGACGTTTTGAAAAGGTATATCAAAACAAGTGGGGGCGCCTCACTTTTACACGCTCTATACACGCTCTATATCTCTCCTACTACTGAACCTCGAACATTTTATAGTATTTGAAATTAAGAATAACTTTGGGAACATCTTCGACGTGACTATTGACTTTCGAGAAAGCATACAATAAAATAATTAAGATCCAACATCATTTTCTCTCTTCTCTTGTATTATGACCAATAATAGTTGCATGTCATATTTTTATGGGCTGCAAATTAATGACTGTGATTTTGTAACGAAATGTAACTGATTTATTTCAGCGATAATTCGACATGGAAGGGAAGCAAACTCATAATAGGAGGAACGCACAATTATTAAATTGTAGGAAATACATTGTTTAGAATGAGAAAAAAAATCGTAGACGTACAAATTTTAATAAATCATGAAATATGAAAATAAGGATCGTGGGCTCCGCGATGCAGTGGTCGCGAAGCGCGCGGTCATCGTCGGGGCGCGCGGCGCGCGGCGCTGTTTTCGGTTCGACCTGCCGGCGTTCCTGGCGGCTTGATGAACGCGTCGTTGCACAAGTGCGTTTCGAAGAGGAAACGTCTCTAAGCAAGCGCGGGCTGCTTCTGGACGGGGTTCAGGACCGCGCGCTCTTGGCTGGCTGCATCTTCTTCCTTCAGGTTCAATCACGCGTTTTCCTCTATTTCACTTCTCTTGATTGCAACGGGCTATCACGATTATTACCCTTTTGCGAAATTTTGCATGGAGTAAAACTTAAATGATACGCACAGACATAGCTGTTAAGAAAGGACATGTGAAGTGACGTTCATTGTTGTAGTTCATATACTATTTCATCGGTAACTACAAAATGTGAAGCTAATATACAAAGCTTTCCTAAAATTTATGATATGGCTTTAGCCATTTAACGTACTTACTAGAATTTGATTTAAGTAGCCTGTTTCCTTTACTTACTCCCCTGGAGATAACAGAAAATGGTTAATGGTCGCGAAATTGCGTACTTTATTCCTAAAAGATTTTAATGAGATATTTTCGTATTTTTGAAACGATGGTAGCGTTTTAATTGTTGGAGAAATTGTGTATTGCTGGAAGTGGGATTCGGCGAATGTCGTAATTTGACCGGAATAAAATGAATTGTAATTTATTTTTCACTCTACGTTGCCCAGACACATCCATTCCCTAATTTGTGAGAACTGAATTTTCTTGGAATTCATGGGAGTGTTTGTAACAAATTATCCGTTGTAGCCAAAAACAAGCATTGCTCAAAAAATGTTTAAAGCTGTATGTTGTGTCAACAAACGGGATAGAAGTGAAAGTGGAAAATAATACGTAATGGGCAATAAGGCAGATGAACCATATTATTTTATGTATACATTTGTTTGACAACGAAGCGTTCAATTTTCGTTTTAGTTCATTTATTGGCCCTTTTATTCGGCGTCCTAAGAAGGCTTCGCAGCGCTCCGCCGACGTGCGAGCTGCGGTCAAGCGTTGACGACCGCTTGCGACAGCGGCGGGCGCGTGACGTCATGGGAACACCGGCGCCGCGCCGCCGCAGGTAGCCCGCGGGCCCCGCGGCGGATGCCGACAGGCAGCCTCCCCCTCCACCCTGCCTAGCTGCGGGACGACCTGTTCCGTAGTGTTCCCTCTAACATGCACGATGGGCGAAACGGTAACGAAAATTACATCGCACAATTGTTTTCTCCCGCAATGAGGCCGCAGCAGAAGAGCTTTTTAGAAACATTTTTCACCAAAAGCTCGAAATTGAAAAAGTTTGTTTATTGAAAAATATTCATTGACATGTAGGCCTAACACGGTCATATCAAGTAAAATATTCAGCGAAAGAGCGAGAGTACTTGTCAATGGAAAGTACAGTTATAAAACCACGGTAAAACTAGTGGTGCTAAACAGCACATATTTTCTCGCACCTTAGTAACGGTTATGTAATAATATTATACCGCATTTCTGTTTATATCAACACATCTCACTTGATGAGCGCTGACAACAAAGCGCGCATGCAGCGATGGGCGCTATCCGTAATGGGCACATATTTTCTTATCAGTTCTTTCTAAAAGCGACATTTTGCCATAAATGGAAGGTGGTCCATAATTAGTGTGCCTGTACCTGTACTGTACATATACCTGTACATATTTCAATAATTTCAAGCAGAAATAACGCAAAACTACTCGTCCCCCCCTCAAAAAAAAAAAAAAAAAAAAAAAAATCTACATGACCTTTTTGAAGTGCTAATTTTGTTCAATAGACTTTCTAATTTTTGTATAATTGGTTGCCTAGGGATGTGAGATGAATATGAAACAAATATAAATGAAGTAGTACTGAGGCATGTTATTTAAATGACCGAATCACTCAAGAAATATTTATGTTTTTATTCGTTTATAGTCAGTAACATAGTATCACATTCGTCATGAAATAGAACAGTAAGAAAGATTAATTTGTAATTCACTGAAAACTAGCTTAAGTGTGGCATATCAGTAGTTCCACCATAATAATTATCCCTTCTATAAACGATATAATTCCGTATACAGATGTGGCCAAGTTATTAAACTAGAGTTATTGAATAAGACAAAATGCATTCGCAACTGTACATATTGACTCACACTGTGCACAGGGTTCTAATGTTTTATAAAAATGTTATAATTAACATGCTTGTTCTGTGGTATGTTGAAAATCAATTTTTAATCCATTCTTTCAATTTGAGGGACACTTTGTGAGACGCGAATGAGTTGTTTTATGAGCTGATTTGTATGGCCTTCTTTTCTTAAGTTTCTTTTAACTATCGAACGAACATTTTCGATGGGATTCATGTCAGGGCTATTTGCTGCTCATTTGTACCCAGACTGACCAATGGCTTTTAGATGTTTTCCAACTTTCTTTCCTGTTGTGATTTGGAGCGTTGTCATTGTTATTTTTCCAAAGAAGTCATTTATGTGAGGAAACCGCTGGTTCTTTAGGGCCTCTTAAGTATTGGTTGTGCCTCATTGTACCATTAACTATATATACATTTCCAATAACATTAACACACATTTCATCCGAAACAGTTGTTTTTGTCAGGTGCTTGTTAGGACTTTAAAATCCGTTGTCAGAGAGAAAATATTTAGTCTAAAACTTTGGCCACCTCTGTAGGTAAGTGGTCGTAGTTACGCTGCGTTACATAGGGGTAGGGGGTCATAGTTTAGTGTTACGTAATGCTGATATTTATTTTTAAAATCTTCCAACGTTTGCTGATATAATTATTTTTATTCAGTCTGGTACTACAACATTACCATATTGATAGATTAAATAACAAATATAATAAATTAAAGAAGTTATATTGTATACGTTGTTACAATAAAGTATAATATTTTTCATGGGTGATATATTGTTTGAATCGTGAGGGGGAGGGCTTGTCGCAAGCGTTACATAATTATTAAAAGGGGTTCAAGCGCGTGTTACACGTGCAGGGGGAGGAGAGGGGGTATTCAAAATGCTCAAAATTTGCGTTACGTAATTTTTTGGATGGCCCCTAAGGGAAGATGACGGATTATTTCCTTTTATAACAACCCACAAGCACAAAACCCCATACTGCCCAAATAATTTTGGATAGGGAACTACCCTCACGGATGCATCAAAGAGATTTATCACAAGAAACACAAGTTCGCTTTGTGGATTTTTTACTTATCAGGCGCAAATGAAATCCGTAACACAATTTACCATCGTGCATAAGTTATAACTGGTGCGCCGTAGAGCTTGGAAACCAGTTTTGGGTGCCCTGAGGAACACAAGTTATGTACCGGAATCCCTCAACATTCACGAGAGTTAGGTTCCAAAAAAGCATCGCGAATGTTGAGTCTATCTTTTAATGAAAAAAGATGAGTTAGGTTCCTGGATTTCGAAACACTGTTTAATAAAGAAAAGAAAAAAGAGAAACAATTGCAGTTGAAATGAGTAAGCGCTACTACAAACATAATTCACAATTAACATTCCGAAGAGAAGAAATAAAACAATAATTAAAAACTGATTGCAACGTTGAAAATGATAGGATATACGATTTGGGTTTTTTTCTCTCATCGTCCCGGTTGTTTTAATCTACAAATATGTAAGAGTTTCTGCTTCTATACCTATCTTAAATTTCGAAGTTATTTTCATATTCGAATCACATTCGACTGCTTTTTCCACCAGAACTGGTTGAAGTTTGAGAACGCCATTAACAGTTTTGACATTGAAGTTGCTCCAGGTCGCAGGTTCGCTTCCGCTACTTCATCGTACGTTCGAGACATTTTTCTTCGCTGATGAGTCTCCCCTTCAATGAGGTCATGATAACGAGAGTTTCACAGATCCTGGGTGGTATTTCCCTTCGTGTGGCCTAAAACCCTAACCCCCTACGTGACGCAACTGGATTGGATTATCTTACAATTGTGTTATTCAATTAGTGTGTATTGCTATGGCAACTTCGGCGTTTTTGCAGCTCGCGATTCTTTTAGCTCCGGCGTCTTTCGCCCTCGTTTCCCAGACGACGCTGATGCAGAACTAAATCGTGCTCGCTTTCAGAAAACGTACTCCGACTAAAAGGCGCACTCGCGAATGTTAAATTTCTCTAATCGCAAATGTTCGGAAGTCGCGAATAGCGAATTCGCGGATGGCGAGGAATTACGTGCCCTGTATCGTAATCTGTAGATTTATTATAAAACCTTTTTAGACTTCTTAAGGTTCTGTCACTCCGTAACGCGGAAACGCTCTGAGACAGGTTCCAGTTGAAAGCTATTTCCACTTTTAATGATGTTGGGGCACGTGTGGTTGACTTGCGACGGAACATGTGAGTGAACATACGAGGGAACACGTGTAGAACTTGGGAGGGACTGAAATCGGGAAGCAGAAAACACATGTGGGGTCAGGTGGGGCGAAGAACAATGAACATTAAGCTTTCTTTATAACCATTTTCTATGTCGTAAGGTGGTCAGGAACGACCACGTTAAGTTGATGCGGTAATAGGTCTGTTATGACCAACCTAAAATGCTTCAATACACATTTCAGGTTCTAGTCTGAAGTTGGGATCCAGTATGAATGTATTTTCATTTTTAAAACAATTACATTCCGCAATTCGTAAAATTGATTTGTAATGTCCACACGGGTCCAGCGAGTTCTCATATTAATTTTTTGACCAAGGTGCAACTTCAACAAATTGATTTGGCAAATGGTTCCATGTGTTACCTGACTAATTGTAACACTCGTTTACCTGAACTTTATACGAGGGATGGCAGCTGCTTGTGCTCTTGTTGACTTCGTCATGTGCTATTTTTAGCTCAATGACATTTGCAAATGAATAAATGTTAAAGTTACTTCGAACTCCCTTTATTATTAAATGCATTATTGGACATTAAGAAAAATACATTTTGGTGAATACATTTCTTGATATATTTAGGTAGCCATCCGGCTGGGGTTCAATAGCATGGAAAGGTTCCATCTATTGAAAACAGCTATTTATTATGCATTTGTGATTCTTCTATGAGAACGTAGTTGTGAGAGATCTCGCACGTCGTTCGGAAATAGCAGACGGTTGGTTCAGAAATAACTGTAGTTCGACCGACAGATTTGTATTGGCGTCTTCCAGGAACACTATTGTTGGAGATCGCCGGGTGTCGCCCCTCGCATTAGGCTGGCCGGAAAGTTTTTCAAAAGCTTCCAGGTAAAGGTGTGCTGTAAATAGCCTGGCGCCGTGTTCCCGCCCAGCGGAGGTGCGAAGGCGCTGCGAGGGCGGGGTGGCACCCGCGCCCCGAGGACATTTATACGTCCCTGCTTGGCTTTCAGTACAAAAGGAAGGAATACAAAAGAAGGGAGAAAGACAGTGCAAAGGATGCGATGCTAATATTAGCTTCGGCTGAGAAGAAATACACAAATAGAACTTACAGAAATGAAGTCCATTAAAGAAATTAAAAACAACAACAAAAAACGTTGCTTCCCCTGTGGTGTTGCAACCGGCACATTTTTCTGGTCTTGCCACTTAGTTTATTAGTTGCACATCAAACGTGGCAGCAAATAAAATCTTGAGCGGGAATTATTCAATTTTGCTGATTGTTATGATCTAGTTGATGATAATTATGAACTAACGTACGAAACCTGTCATTGCTCGGACATTTATAATCGATATCTATTGGCAATCATCTATGCTTCACACCAACGCCAAAAACGGTACTTTCTTCAGGTGAAACAACATAAATTACATAATGAAAGTCACAATTGTTATTGAAAATATTCTATTTTAATCAGTGAATATCATACTCAAACTCCCGCGTTGGCTCGGTATTCATTTTTCACAATCTATTGGACAGGGATTAGTATTCTACAGATTTGTAGAATTTAATTTTTACATTTCTATTCTACCAAAGTTGCCATCTGTTCTCCTTTTGGAGAACCTGTTCTCCTTTTTTTTTAACACTGTCTCTCTGTTTTTTTGTTGTTTTTTAATTTACTTGGAATGTTCTCCTCTTTGTCATGTTGAATTGAAAAAAATCCTGGCATAATTTTTAAGTAAATTAATTATAGGGACCTCATATTTTCCACATTTGAATTCAAATAAGTGGTCTACTTAATATAATATTAGGCTTATTGTGATAGAAAACTTATTTATGCTTATTTTGGTGGATAATGAAGGTCTGTGCGGGGGCGAAATTATCCAATCGGAAAGAATAATTATATGCGTCGTCATTGCCAACCATATTATTTATTAAAAAAGCAGCTTTCGATGGCTTAGCCATCATCATCAGTTTTCTAGTACAAGAAGAAAAACAAAAACATTAAAACGTGAATATTTTCTTGATTTGACCACAATTATAATAAAGGTGGTGGTTTTGGTTGTCAAATGAAAAAAATATACACGTTTTAATGTTTTTGTTTTTCTTCTTGTACTAGAATACTGATGATGATCGCTAAGCCATCGAAAGCTGCTTTTTTAATAAATAATACTGTTGGCAATGACGACGCATATAAGTATTTCATTAGAAATGCCAACGATAACTTATCACAATACCTATATCCAATCGGAAGATTTCATTTTTAATTACACAAAGTCTTATATGCTTTTAAAGATTATTGATGGTTTGGAAATGTCGAGTACATTGTCGTTACATCATAGAGTATACAAATTGTAAAAGTCCTCCTTTTTTAAGTAAAATGTCCTCCATTAGGGGAAAAATCTGGTAACCTTGATTGTATTATTTGTATTGCATCGTCGCGCTATTCGGACTTGCCTTCCCGTGCGCTATCTTGCGTTGTCTTGTCTTGCCCTGACCCCCAGCCTACTTCACTCTCTTTCTAACTAAAATAATTGAAAAGTCTATAAGTATATAAGTTATTAACATGAATTAATAACTGCAAGTGTAATTGGTAGTTTATAGTATTAGATTAAAGGGAAATGGTTCCAAAGGTTACTGCTTATTTTCAGAAGTTCCATAGTTTCAATATTTTTTGTATTAATATACTGCACCAATTAATTATTGTATTACACCTTGTACTTCTAATAAACATTTAAGGAAAAGTGAACCTCTTTTCACAGATCACTTGTTTCTTATTTTCATTTTAATCATGTGAAACTGAAATGCTTAGCGAAGTGTCAGTTGACGTAAATAGTGAGGTTAAGTGAGGTGGTATCCTGTAAACAGAAATTTATGACCGATTCAGTGGAACGCAAATCTGGGATAAAGCCGGCCCTAGGAACTTCCCTCTCGCACTGATTCCTTTTTAGCAGAGAACACCTGCTACTACTCGTCCCGTTTCGTCCTTGTATTGGCTAACGTGTCCATCATACGGCTTAAGTTCGAAGTAGTCTTTGAAGCGTGTGTGCTTCGGCCATTATCCACCTATTTTGGTTATTGTGAACGGGAAGTTCGCGAGTTAGACAGATTCCGACATGAGCCGTGCCGTAACAAACATTTTGTGTTGCACTGTAAGACACTCAAAAGCTTAGATTAGAGCTGACGGAATAAAGATATATAATTATATAAGATATCGAGGCTTCAAATGACGTAAAAGTCCAGAAGCTTCAAGTTTTCGGACCTCAAATATTTTTCAGCGTGTCGAGAATTCGATAGCCCATATCAATTGAAACAATTCGAATCCATCCTAGTTCTGAACCTTGCTATCGTGTAACTATCGAAAGACGCGTGAGGAAAATCCACACATTTATGCTGGTGTAGAATCGACTTACGCTTAGTAACTAGCAATAAATGTTCCTTTGCATGGCCTTAAACTTCGCACTAGAAGACGGAAGATTCGAAATGGTTTTTGGTGCTCCTGTTGGTAAATCAGCACCAACAGGAGTTTTCATTGTTTGATGGCTGGTGCGAATACCATTAAAGAAAGGGTGCTTAGTTTTCTCTTTTGTAATGGTCTCATTTACCTTCTCACACAATGCTATCCACTCCAATAATATGCGATGTGACTGCTTTGAATTTCTTGCACACAGTACTTTACTCCATTTTCTTTTAATTATAACTAATGTATTATTAAGATGAGCTTTACTGAAAATTGCTGTCGCGGGTACAATTTTCTGGAAGATAAATTATTACATATAAGAGCAGTGATATTATTTATAAATGCAATGGTGAAATGTGATAGATTGATTAGTGGGGTGAGGAAATATTTTCTAAGTCAATTTTTGCTCGTCTAAAATTGAAGTCTAAAACACAAACACAGAGATTGTAGTGGTCTTGAAAGATTAAATCGAAAATCTCGCCGAAGAGTCGTTTTCTCGCCCTAATTTCATTTCGGTATATTTTGGAATTTGCTTCGTTCCGTCAGTGATACAACTCGAAATCTACATCAAGAATGTAACTCGCCAAGAGTTTCTGCGTAATTTCCTTAAATTACTCTTGCCTTTAATTAGTTTCAGACGTGGATTCACAACTAACTTCCTGCAATTATTTTGTGCTAAATATCCTTCTTCAGTAAAGAAAGGATGTTTAATGAATCTTGTTTAATTATTTTATTACGTTTCGTATATAATTGTGAGTTGACAAGTATGTATAAGACAAATCTTGATATGAATTTTTCAAAGTCATTGTGCTGATCATATTCTGAAGAGAAAACAAGTACGACTTCGGCTTCATTGTGTACTCAGTCAAACGAATAGAATTGACTTTCGCGTGTGTGTGAAAGAATCTTCGTATTTGTCTAGTTTGCGGTAGTTCCTGCCGACTCATTTTGCTGAGTGCTAGCGGCTAACATAAAAGAGACGACGGAAAAGCATAATTGACAAACTGGTGATGGTATGTGACGTGAACATGTTACGTGTCTTGTTCTGGTGAACAGCACACGGAACGCTGTGTGGCTATAGAGGTGTGTGCACATACATTTCATTTCTGAAGTTTACTGCATATTTGTTGAGTGAAACGTTGCTAGGAATTTTTAATATGTGCTTTCTTTATATAATCTAGTTTTCCTCCATCCTGACGTGTACATAATTCTGATACAAAAGTGTTTTTCGCATTTGCAAAATTAGACACCTGTTTTTTGTTACAAATAATTATAACGTGAAATTGAATATACAAGTTAATAATATTATTACAAGATGTAAATCGCATGTTCTTGAAATATTTATCAAAGAGCTCAACGAGAATGGGACCATCGTCACTGTCTTTGCCTTCATTCCTGTATTTGAGAAAAATGGAGAGTTTTTGAGAAAACATTGTTGATTAATTGTGTACGTTTCTTGCAAAGGGACAAACATTTCCAACCGGAAATTATGTATAATGCTTTTGTAATTGGATTTTCGTACCGAAACTAGCGGTGCTAAAACAGCACGTACTTTCTCCCTCATATTTTCACCCAAAATTACGCGCAAATGTACTCAAATTTTCGAAAAATTGTACATGACCTTATTTTAAAATATATATGTAAGGAATGGATTTCATTACGGGGAAAATAGCTCTATAATTCTAGTTGTTGGAAAACACTGAAAAAGTTCCAAAACAAAATCTTTATAATTCTACTTGTGGGAAATCACCGAAAAATTTTGAACTTTTAAATTTTTCGAAAAAATTAGGATTTTCAACGAACATGAGACCTGCACCATCCTCGTAAACGTCCGTCACACTATCAAAACATCATTTAATCAAAAAAACGTTTCTAAATCTAGTTGAAATATTTTGTATTTACGAAGATCTGGACTATATTCTGTAATGGGCACTATAAGTCTATAGTGCACTATAAGTAGGATATCCTGCTATCCATATATTACCTGAAATGTAAAACGTAATATATCACTTGTAATATTAAAATCACTGACATTCTTTGTTAAATAACACATATTTTAAAAGATTGCTAGACATTAGGACACCAGATAATTGTTCATTCTATTAATTGTACGATATTATTAAAATTTATGACTATAAAACGAGTTCATTGCAGGCCTGGAGTGTTCCTGAAGGGCCGCGGGTTCGAATTCCTCCCGGAACATGGATATTTGGGTGTTACCGTTACTCCAAATGTTACTTAGATTGGTCGCTATATCACCTTAGTAGTTGAAAAGCGACATTAACGAAATTAACTAAGTACAAAAAGATTCTAATAAATACCAAACAATGATACATCTGGGGACCACTACCTTTCATTTAAAACAAAAATCAGGAATTTGGATTGAGCAAATTTATTTGTGATCGAAACTGTTCGTGATTTAAATATAGAAAGTATATAAATTCATCAATCAACAGTTGCCATTTGTCAACTGAAAATTGTCTTTTATAGGCTATTTACTTAACCAACATGCTATGGAAATGTTACTTCAATTAAATAAGCAATTGTTTGACTATTGAAATTAAATTTTGTCTGCGCATTTACTTGATGCATTGGTTCCTATAAGAGTATTTCTTATGATTGTCGTTCCTCTAGAGGAGGGGAATCCCCTTTGATGCGTTTAAAATATAGATACGCATAACAGTGTGGAACGAGAATATACTGGAGGTGAATGGGATTATTTTTATTTAACAATAGAGAAGATAAAGAGTTAACGCTCTGAAGAAACTCAAACTTATTTATAACATCTACACATTATATTAAATAACACAGAGTTTTATAAATTACATTTGGGTTTTTATAAACAACACAAAATATATTTGTTGTTGAAGCCGTTAGCGTTCACTTATTTCGTGCCCCTTTAATAGAATGCAACAAAGAAATGTGAGATCAAATAATGTCAGAATAATAGCACGTGGGTGAAGGAAGAAACCCTTTGTAGATATCTATATCTCTCTCTTTATATAAATTACGTATTTCCAATGCGCGCCAAAATTCAAAGAAAACTACGAAGCCTTCGGGTTTGTGAGGTGTGTCCAAACCAGTGTGACAGGTTCGATTTTGAGCGAAAAGTATTTTAATGTGCTATTCTGCCTATTCTCATACCTCGCGTGCCGATGAAATTATCACAATCAGTGCGCCACTGGTTACGGCCGAGCGGCCGTTATGGCCTTGTGACGGCACACGAAAACGAACTTTTTTTATATTCTTCTAATGTATAGTTACATATGTTTCATTAAACAACACGTGCAGCAGCAACGTTTTCGTTAAAATATTTTATATGTTGCAGTATTTCATAACAGTATTTTTTTTCTTTTTCTTTCTTGAGTGATGTACGTGCTACTTCCTGAAAACAGTTCTGTGATGATGTGTTCGGCAGCATTTTTACTGTTGCAGGTCACGACTACACATGCAGGACACTTATGTATGAATGTAGTCAGATAGCAGGGATTTTGTAACAGGAACACCTATTATTTCGATGTTCTTGGATGTTTTCTCCAACGTCCTCTTGGACTCGCTTGTACGAGCTGTGGTTTCAGCAAGGAAAAGATGTGTCAGCTCCTGAAGCTTTTTCCTCCTTTCGTATTTCTTTTTTTGGTATACGTACGTAGTGTATACGGAGTAATATAGGTGGTGTAAAAAAGTTATGTACTGCTGCGATAAATCGGTACCAAAATATTACGAAGTACGAAGTACGTTACGAAGTACTCGTATACGTTTTGGGATCCCGATAACAAAGAAAATGTTTTCAGAAAACATATATCCGTCTGTGAACAACATTGACTCCTACATTATTCGCAGGACTTTTGCCGAAATGAATATTTCACCATCGATCTTGTTTGACTCGTAACTCTGATTTTGAAAACAATTTTTATTTAATTTTATTACTTTCCTGTATACATACGTGTATACAGAGTATGTAATGCTGCGGAAAATCAATTTCAACGGAAATACACGTTTTGATATCCCTGATACCGATTTTTTTTCGCGCAATGTTGCGTGCAATTGGTGCAATTAAAAAAATTACAAAAAATGTTTTTGTCAAAAACTGCTCCAAATTTTTTCTTTGAAATTTAGGTAGGGATTGTGCTAAATGCACCCTGTGAAATGACATAAACGCCACATTGCTCTATTCTTTTGATTTTCCAAAAATTACAAAAATGTAATTTTTTTGACTTCATTCACACGTCTTCTCGAAAACCCAACAACTCTCACAGCTTCTCGAAAACAACCGTTTTCTGAGAAAAGTAGCTCAAAATTTCACAATTTCAGAAACTCAAACACCATTTTCTCGGAAACGTCTCCATTTTTTCGAAAGGATCGTGCTAATTGCACTTTAATATGACGTAATGTTCATTTCGTTTCTTTTTTTTCAAAATTACACAAATGTAATTTGTTAAAAGATCTCTCTCGCCATTAAAAAGTACATTTCCAGCAATTTGTAAACACTATTGTATTTGTGAGTTATAGTGCTTCAACTGACTTCTAATAAAGTTTTTCGAAAACTTCAAAATTCTCTGTAAAAAGTGCTTCAAATTTCGAATTTACTGTAGCCCGTAAGGGCCATTTCCTTAAAAACGGCGCCAAATTTTCAGAGAAAATTGCCATTGGGGTCGAGGTTTTAGTGTTATTTTATGTTCTTATAATATATTTCCGTTCTATTATGAGGAAACCGAAAAATTAGAAAAAAAATCAAAAACGTTTACTTTGGGCGGCGATAGATGGTAGCAGGCAAGAGTATGGGGCAAGTTCGAATAGCTAGCCGAGACCAAAGGAAATAGAAAACTAATATGGGGAAAGCTTGTGGCATTCTGTAGCACCACTATTTTTTGTGTATTTTCCGCAAGGCTACGGGCCCCCTTTATAATTTTTTGAGTTCCCCCTTCTGCTCACTCCAGAATTATAGCGCAGGTTTGAATCCTCACATCGTCCCGCTAATCCCGTCCTAGAACAACTTTCCCGGCCCCTGGTGACAAAAGTTTCAAATATGAAATTTAACATAGGCCTACTTAATGAGTAACTAACCCAATGACGATAGTTATATAAGATATTTATTATTATCTATTCAAATTATCGTTCTAAAATAACTGATTAGTACATTTTTTTCAACTTTTAGGACAAAAATATTCTGAAAAGTAAGTGGGAAGTTGAGCTTGCTTCATCAAAAATTGTTCAATCGTAGGTCAATACAGACTTCCTCTGGGCAATTCGTAGAATAGGTAGTAATAACCGTATTGAAATAGGACTCGCCAATTCTTTTTCACGTTCAATTCTCATGTTCAGTTTACTGTTGTATAACAAGCAAGAAAAAAAGTAGATACAAATAGTTTTTACTCATGAATTTCTGATAGATCTGGTATTTTTAGCTGTTAGTTGATCTGCGGCAGCGGCGTTACGTAAACTATCATTTGTCTTTCCCTCCCGAATTCTCGCGCATATGTAACATCTTGCTTGGTGTTCTGACTCGGGGAGGGTGTGAGAAGAGAAGGAAATTTGGCTTTGATATACTTAACACAAATAAACAGTCAAAATGACACAGAAAACAGTATAAAGCGAATAAAAATAACTTACATTAACAATACGTGATGCTAATCTGAGTAGCCTTGTCTCTGTGTCTAATTCCAAAAAAATCTCAAATCATTCTCAGAACCAGCCAAATAGATAACACAGTCACTAAAGAATACTGGCATATGTGATCTATCTCGTAATTGATCTCTGAAATATACATGTCATATGCAATCCGCGGGACTCCTGACCCCATTCTGAGTGGCAGAGGTTAAGATGAAAAAAGGTTCATCACAACAAATTTTTAATATGTTTGATACATTATAAGTTGCAATATCTTTCAGACGAAATGACCAGGGTTGAAAATACAGTAAATAGAGTTTTCGTCCAATAAAGAACGACATCGATGTTTCGATTAACTTGATGGTTTTCTGGGTCGCATCCGATTTCGTCACGCAAGATTTCCTTATTGCAGGGGTTTTCAAACTGCGCATCGCGGTGATTTATTAAAAAGGATCTTTAGATTTGCGTACTTCCGTAGCGCGTGTCGGGGATATTTAATCTTTCTACGTACGCAGATCAAGGGTTCCCATGCCCACGCGACCGCATTCTCACTCGACCATGTTCATCCTGTACTCGGTTGAGATCGAAATTGAATTGATTACAAGAACAACATTTGAAATATTTTTTTCATTGAGGTAAATAGTCATATTTTGGGTCACCTGAGGACCCCGCCAGAGATAACGCTTTTAGTTAAGTGAATTTCACCAGAGAAGTTAAGGGTTAAAAATAGTGACAGCGTAAAAACATCGATCACAAAACATCCATGTTAAAAAAAAAAAAAAACTTGGGCTTAAAAAACTCGATGTTTAATACATTGATGATTGTATACTAACATTGATGTTTTGAAAACCTGGAGATGTCAGTGGCATTTGTAATGAGGAGCGGAGCGGTACGTACCTTGCGCGTTGAGCGTCGCGTGGCGCCGGCGGTCGACGTCGCGGGGGCGTGGCGCGTTGCTGTGCGGTGCGAGGGCGTCCCTCCGAGCCGCGCGCCGCGTCGCGTTGCGTCGCGTCGCGTCGCGGGGCGGTGCGCTTCGCTCCGGCGGCCGCCTGGGCCGCGCTTGCGCAATGCGGCCCGCGGCGCCCGCCGACTGCTTCTTATACACAGCATCCTCTCTCGCCGGGGCTCCTCGGGCGCGCGCGCGGTTGGGTTTTCCAGCGTTCGGAAGCAACGGCCGAGCGGCCGGGGGCAAAGCGGCAGGCGCCTTGTGTATTCGCAGCGCGCGGACGCAAAAAAAGCAAAAGGCGCCGCCCCGTCGCCCATCGCTCATCGCCCGCCGCGGGTCGGGAATTACGCCGCCGCCGCGCCGCGCCGCGTCGCGCGCTCTGGGAGGGACAGGTCATGGGATATAACCACCCGCTCGGAGGCGTCGACTGCCTCCTTTCAGGAGAACGCGCTCGTATTGAACGCTCACGCCACTGTTTAGATGGGCTGAGCTCGCAGGATTTGGGGAACTGCGAGTTCGCGTAAATGTTTGCGTTAACGGCGTTGGGCACACGTATCTAGGATGACAGACGGCAGGAACGTTTTGGAATCGAACCGGGTGTAGGTAACCGGGGAATACAAGTGCAACCTCATTCCTTATTGTAGACTGACCCACTCAATTATTTTAAAAAAGCTATAAAAACTCTGTTGCCTGAGTCAGAGATGGAAAAGGACACAAGTGGCATCAAACCTCCGGTAATTGAACTCTGTAGTGTGTCTAAAAGATGTTTTTTTTGAAAGAATTTTTACACGTCTTTTCTGATTTTTACAATTTTAACACAACTGAATAAGCATGCATATTCTGATGTAAATAGCGCAAAATGATTTATTTGATGATGGCACTGAGTTAACTATTACTCAATCTCCTCTCAGAAGTGGCAGCCACTGACTGATGGCTGGAACATTTTCGAGCTTTTCATTCATCTCGAAGCAGATCTCGCTCTTTGCAAATATTTACTTCGGTGAAAACTAAGATCAAAAAACGTCGAAAGTTTACCGGACAGTTTTCAACATTTATTTCAAGAAAGTTTGGATTATGTTGCACGTGTTTGCTCTTCGATTTTTCACAGAATTTAAACTGACGTAACTGAAAAAGTGCGTTCACTTTCCTGGTTTTCTGAGACGGAGTATGGAAGGTACGACTAAATATTTTTTATAAGAAACCTATTGTTACAGAAATTAGAGTATTTAATTTATTACAAAAATATTTAAAAAATATTATATTGGAAGAAGATTCCTTATCCGTATTCAAATTAAAGGAAAGTATATTGAAACGAAATTTCCTTCGCCATACTGCCTTGCTCTTGGTTACGGTGCTAAGCAAGCAAGTTGCTATTCATTTCAGATGAGAAGTTTTAGAAGGGAGTTATTAAGTTTCCACAAAAGTGCAAAAGTATAGTTGATAAAACTCATGTTCTGAGTAATAGAATTGATTTAAACTTCATGCAAACCCCAGTAAATGTTCCCGTCAGTATAAATATACTACGTGTACCTGTTTTGTTTCTTGGAAAGTTTTTATTCTTGGAAAGCAAACAATCTAAGTATTAAAACCATATGAAACGTTTCGGTTCAACTTCCAGAAATTATTAATGTACGAATAATATTTCGTAAACAATGCTAATTTGCTAATCTGTACACTCAATGTATCCTATTCGGGTGCTGAGGGCCTTCGGGCCAAGCAGAAATAATGGAGAGATGAAAAAAGAAATTGAAAAAAAAGCGATATAATGTCTGGAAATAGGAAAACTACTGGTGCTACAACGGCATGTACTTTCCCACATTACTTGTAAAGCTTACGTAATATAATACTGGTTGCACCCGAAAAAGTGTAATCAACCCGCAAACATTTGTCCATGCTGGGATTCTAAAACAAGTACTAAGAATTAGCTGGCAGTTGGAGAAACCTCTACTCGAATTGCTTGAGTCGGCATAACAATCTTTCCAAGGCCTTAAAAAGAAAAAAAGAAACATTTCAATTTTTTTGAAAATTTAGAGATTTTAATGAAAATCGGACGAAATGGACTAAGAATATTAAGAAAAATATCGAGGTGGCTATGACTGAGGGAACGTCGTGTATTTTATTCGTCCGCGTGTATTAACCTTAGAAGTTAATTACACGTGTTTTGTGATGTGTTTGAACTGTTAGAACTTACCTATTTAATTAGTAATTCTGTCAGTACCAGTCACATTTAGTACTAGGTATACTCTGATCATATTATGGTTATAAATCAGCAAATAGTAATGTTTACGTGTTACTATTTATATTGTAATTTCTCTCTAAATTAACATGGGCTGTGTATCAGCACATACGCGGAAAACTTCCAGGCTTCCGCGGGAGCTCAGGAACACGATGGGAAACGTACGTAGAGAAATCACAAATCAACGACGCCAAAGACCTCTGGAAACTGCGGCGAGCTCTTAGAAACCCAGCCCCCGCCATAACATTGCTTGAAAGCCCAAACGGGCCTCCGACATCATACATCCAGCTGTAAAAGCAGAGGTTTTCGCAGATGCGCTGCCACAGCGATATAGTCGCCTTCAGTAAACAAACTGCAGCTTCCTACCACCGCCGCGGAAGTTCATTTTGATTCTTCGCCATTAACTGACGTTTCTGAGCGGATGAGGCACACGGTCTGTTAATGTGTTGATGTTTTCATCAACACAAAGAAATCGGGCGGCCCGGACAAGCTTTCTGGCGAAATGCTCTCTTAGTACTAAGAAATGAGCAGCCCTAAGGACCCCTTCACACGCTTACTTGGAAAGATCACATAAAAATTTCAGCTAACAAAACATTAATGAAAATGTTAAAACTGTACCCACTAATTAATAAAAACTCAAAAATAAATATCGATATCTCAATATCCATTTTCAAATGTATCATAAGACCTTCACTAACATGCGCCTGTCAAATTTGGAAAAGTGCAGCAAACAGCTATTAAAATAGTCCACAACTAATTCGAAATGAGAATCTCCGCTGGACAGTGAACTGACTTTGGTTTATTCGCAATGAGCAAACTCAAAAAGAACTCTCTGTGCCCAATAAAACAATGGATACGCAGGCTCTCCACCCGATTCTATACTATCCTAACCAAAAAATTTAAATACGGTTCCACTTCATACCCGTATTCACGGACTAAAAGTCGGTATTCTAAAGCCTTACTTCGTCCTCCGTAAAATAACAAACAAGAAAGCAGTTAATAACAACTTATAAATAACTTCGAGAAGCTAGAAGACCCTCGCTGAACACTCCTCTGTAATTAATGAATATTTAAAGTTATATTTGTTATATTATATTTGTAAGTTAAAAATACGTAAAAAAAATTCCGTGGTCACCAACTTTGTATGGAAACATTATATATGATTCAAAACCTTGAAAAGCGTAACAGGCCAAACAAGGATTAATATATTTAAGAAAACACATTAAAATTCCTACAATATGTTTAACTTGAGCCCGGAAGAGTTGCTCCCGGAAGTTCAGCTGGTCACAGTATGTAGAGATATACCGCTTGCATTGTAATCGCATAGTCTCTATCTCACTTAAACGGAAATGAAGTTTTGTGATCTGTAAATATTTTCGTTGCCAAACTAGAAATTCGAATGTTAGTTATCATATAATACATTCGTTCCCTTCAAAAATGTATGTTTTACGTGATAAACATACAATTTGGTTTATTCCAGGGTTTGAGCTCATTTCCCTTTTATCCGAGAAAAGTCACGTGGTCAAAAAATGAGTGGTCTTTTGAGTTGACTACACGGATCGTTTACCTGACACCTTTCTGGCTTTGACTATCATTTCTGTTTACATAATCGTAATGACATAAATAGATTTGCTCTAATTTGTTTATTTTGCTTTCAGTTTCGTTATTTTTTTTAAAAAAGTTTAGTTGTTTATTAGGAATATGCTAATTAGTGATTGATGCAAGACATAAATCATTAAAGAACAAATGATAATACTCTCGAATTAAACTTATATGTGTAAAATTAATGTAGGAAAACGATTACTTCAACAGTTCGCTCAGACTGTTTTTGCTATGTGTAATTACATATTCTGCTCCGACACATTTTACTGATTTAATTTGCAGCTCATATGCGTTGTTGGTATTCATCGAATTCCTATTTTCACATAATGGATGTGGTTTTCATCTAAATTAGTGTTTTAAAAACAAAATAGTGGTATTTTCTTTTCTACCATAAATTGGGGTAGGTGAACGTGAAAAGTTTGCATTGTAGTCTTAGGGATAGGGCGCAGATATTCTCCGACAAGTGTAACTGAATATGCAAGGGTATTAGTTGATATCTGGCTCGTGTTGTTCTCCAAAAGGAATTACGGTCACGCCGATGTCGAATCTATGAACCCTGTTGCACTGCCTCTGTTGAAAAGGGTGAATTACTTTAAGGAAGTCTTCCAGCTCGTGAACTACTGCATTTAGTTTTTCAAGAAACAGCTTCTAATCACAATTTGGAAATATAAACAGAATGGAAAGAAAAAATAATGAATATTCAATGACAAAGTGTTTGTCGTGTGTCCACTGCTTCGTGTTCTCGTAAGGCCGACGCTTGAGTAGAAAACAACTCGCTGGATGGAAAAGCGAGTGAGCAGATGCCTAATGGAATCGATCAGCTCCCGAATTTGTCGCAGCGTGCGAGGAAAGCAGGCGCGTGGCGGGGCGCGGTGCGGCGCGGTGCGGCGTCGGCGCTGCTGCTGCAAGGGCTCTCGCCGCCCGCCTCCTGCGGTTGGGGCTTTCCACGCCGGGGGCACGCGCCGCCCGACCCCGCCCCCTCCCACTAACACCACCTTCTCTCCGCGCCGGCAGCTGCTGCTGCTGCTGGTTCGGTCCGCGACCTCTCCGCGCGCGCTTATGTTTTGTCGGGGAAGGGGGAGTGAGCGCTCCGCACACTCGTCTATGCCAGGGACGCCAACGCTGGGTTTCCCAGGGCAAGGTGTTGCTAATGCAATAAGATGTCGCAGAAATATGTGATAAACGCTGCTGGCAGCCCTCCGAGTCCCTTATAGAGTTAAAAGGGCATTGCCCTGTTATGAAGATGCCATGGGGAATCCCCGATTAAAATTTCCAACAAAATATATATTTCTATCAAATTGGCGACATTGAGATTTGTATTAATAATTTTCCAGTGTCCATATACTTTGAAAGAAAACTATGCAGCCTGCGGCCATTTGAGAGGTGTTAATAGTTTCGTTGGATACCCAGAACTCGAAAAAAATCCGACCAGGTAGTTTCGATTTTGACTGAAAAATGCATATATTTGATTGTGTTATTGCGCCCATTCTCACTCTGCGCGAGCCAATGGAATTCTCAGACTAAGGGCGTCACATCTTACGACACAGCTAACGTCATGAGATAACAAGGCTACAAGGTAGATGCCTTTCGCCATTAAAAAATTGCTTTTATATGTTGCGTTATGGAACACCAACTTTTTTGATGTTCTTGGAACATAAATAACTGTATATATAGTGTACTTAGTTTTCGCAATGTGCATGTTCGAGTTTTTTGTTGAAATATGTAATTTGTTGGAGTGTTATTTGTTTTTGAGTAGTTTATGTCCTACTTTGGAAGACTATTTTGTGTGGTTTAGTCCCGCAGCATTTTTGACGCTGCAGACTACTATTCTTGAAGTGGGGAACTGTTTCCCTTCTACTAAATCACAATATCGATGAGTAGCGTTTGAAATATGAAGCCAACTTCGTTTCAAGAGGAAACATCTTTACAATGATTGCACATTGAATCATAGGAAAAAGTGTTTTTATTATTATTTTTTTTTTCAGTTGACATGTGCAGATCTCGAAAGAATTAGTCAGTCCTTAGTTTGTAGAATCATTACATAAATATCTGAAGTGGTATCAGGAAATATTTAAAAGTTCATTCAATTTCCTTCATGTGTTGTACAAATATCGTACGCCAATAATATACTTTCTAATCACGCAAACTCGAAAAAATTCTACCAATAACAATTACCCACACAGGACTTAACACATCGAAGCAACGAAACGAAATTTATAATTTATTTTCTATTGATAATCTGTCAATGAAACCAGATGCTACTCATACGTTTAAAAGACCCGCCAAAATTATAAACAAGATTAACATGGCCTTCTAGATTCGTATCCAGTAACCAATAAAGCAATGTTGCCAAATATTAAGTAGTGAAATAATGCGTGAGTGTTACTCTCAAATAAGTGGGGTCTATGAATACAAACCTGTCATAAGGGTTCACTTACTTTAAGTAAATGCTTATTACTTAAGCGTTTACTTATCGTATGTATCGACTATGAATACGGTCCTTTATCTTGTACCTCAACATTGTAAATTACTTCCTCTTACACATTGTGTAGAAGGAATCCGTGTTTTGCGGGTCCCCGAACGTCTGTCTGTCCGTCCTTTTAATGAAAAAAAAATTGGAGCCGTTTTTTGATAAAATGGCGTTTGAGCGTTTCTGAAATTGCGAAATTTTGAGCTAGTTTTGACAGAAAACGGTCGTGTTTTTGAGAAGCTTTATATGACATTATTCAAAGCAAATGTACTCATAAATATAATAATGTGAATAAATTGCCGCTAATGTGAATATTAACGACGAAGGAGATAAGTCAAAAACATTACTTTTTTTTTGTAATTTTTGCAAGAACGAAATAGACTAATGCGGCGTTTTTGGCATCTCTTAGAGTGCGTTGAGCACAATCCGCACCAAAAGTTCAAAGAAAACTTTGGAGCCTTTTTAGAAAAATTTCGTTTTGCAATTTTTTAAAACTGCACAAATTGCACGCAATATTGCGGGAAAATTACTACATCAAAAAAATCTACATGACCTTAATAAACGAACAAATTACGAGTATGAACAACACATTTTATTTGAACTAAAAATCTGTGCATCTCTATCACGAACTAAACACCACAAATTGAGTAAGTCTTCATTTCTGAAACGACGCATATCTAAAGAAAAAGCAAATTTGTATCAAATGTAGCTCTTTGTTGCAGCTGAAACGTGTTGCAACATGATTAATAATAACCTAGTAACACAATACGCCGCAGTGCCTCAAGCCCGTAAAACCCCGTCAATGTTTTAAAAGTCAATTCAAGTTTTGAAGTTATTGTCAATACAACTAAAATTCACAGCAATGGATAAAGTGGCAATTTTCAGGAACTGTTAATTGAATTGCGCTATGAAAAATACATTCATGGAGGATAACAAAATGATCGCTTTCAAAGAGAACAGGACGTGCAAGGACAGCCCAGTTTAAAATTTCACTTTGGCTTGACAGCTCGCATTTCGGCACGGAGACCGAACGGGGAACGAAAAACACTTCTCTTTTTTTATGTCTATATTTCATAAAAAATCATACATTAAAAAAACGCGTGTCAATTCTTCTGGTATTTGATGTGAAATGGCTGTATTTAGTTTTTACTTCAACAGAACTTCACGGAGGCCGTACTCGAAACGGTTTTCCTCCACAACAGTACACGGAAGATTTCTTGCTAGTTTTAGAGGTAATGTGCGGTGAAATGTTACCTCTTAGCTGAACTGTGTGACCAGTGTTGTTTTCCTTTAACCTTTCCTTATGTTCTCCACAATTGTGAAATCTTTCTGAGCAATTTTCCTGTAATAACTTTTTCAATTTTTGTAGAAAGGTATGACTTCAATATTTTGGTGTGAATTACCATTTGCCGCTGGAATTTCAGTGTTTTAATTTTGTTGGCCAACTTACGAGACGCCGAAAAACGTGAATATAGCCATGCGAAGTTTTTTATATCTTCCTACTTCATGAAATTGCTCGTGCATTTTACTTTCTGCTTTGATTACGCAGTAAAGTAGAGACAAAGAGAGAGAGAGACAAAAAGTGAGAGAAAAGTGAAAACGAAAAGAGGGGAAAGGGAGAGTAAAAGGGGAGAAAGTGAGAGAGAAAAAGTGACGGGAAAGGAACAAAGGCATAAAGAGAGGGGGAAATGAGAGGGCAAACGAGGAAAAAGAGGCGAGAAGAAGGTGAAAAAGAGAGAGGGAAAAAGAAGGCGTGTAAGACGAGATACGGTGAGAATGGGGATGAAGAAAGAGGAAAATAGAGAGAAGGTGTGGAGGGGTAAAAGAAAGAAAGGGAAAAGGAGAAAGAGAGTGAAACCGAGGGAGAGAGAAAGAGGAGAAAAGAGTGAGTGAGGAAAGTGAGAGAGCGCAGGACGTCTGCCGGGTTCTGCTAGTATTATAGAATAAGAAAACCTCGTCATGCAAGGACCTTTTAAGCAGTTTTTTTTAAGAACATGGCGTTCAAGCGTTACTGTAAATTCGAAATTTGAAGCTCCTTTTTACCAAAATCTTAAGAGTTTCGAAAAACATAATCTTATTTAATATTCTTTAAGTAATATTTCGGTCATACTATTAGAAAATCGAAGAATTCAGAAAAGTTTTAAAAAATGTACTTTGGACGGTGATAAGTGGCAGCTGGCAAGAGTATGTCGCAAGCCTGAAAGGCTAGCGTAGACCAAAGAAATTAAAATACTATTACGAGCCCCATACGCATCATACATAAAGGGGCCCACGTTGATTTTCTTAGCAGTTACCTCTTTGTAAAAAAAATGAATTCATTATTTAGTTCTCTGCTGCAGGAAACACAACATAGGCTGTAGTAGAACAGAACGCACAATGCGTCGTATTACTGTTATTACTGTTGTTATCTCGGTAACGAAACGCTATATTTTCCGACGGTCCTTGACGCGGTTTTGTGTTAGTGTTGCGGCGAGTATACTATTCGTGTGTCAAGTGGCGTAAATTGAAACTTTACCTCAGACTGTGATGCGTAATTGGCATTGGGAGAATGCCCTGGGATGTGCGCGTGCAGGTCGCGCGATGCCTGGGGTTACGTCATTTATCAAGCTCTCGCCATCCCGCCGCACGACGCGCGGTACCTCGTCGCGAGGCTTCACGCGGTTATGGTCCGAAACTGTGGGCCATGTGCAAGGGAGTTTTGTGACGCGTGCCATGATATGTTGCTACAAACGCGAGGAATGTTTTGGGCGTGTTTTTTAACAATTGTATTTGCAGCAGCGACAAAAGTGATGGTGGAGTTTGTTTTTTTATTTCACGGCCTTGGAACTTCCTTTTGCTGCCCTTCACTCTGCCGCGAGGTTTATCACCCGTCGAGCGCCGCCGATCTGCAGAGTACAGGTGGTGTGGTATGAAAATATTAGTTTCTTGCCGTTTTGTACGAGTCCAGTTTATGCTTATCATTGCTCACTACGCAAGTGTTATCAACGGCAGGCATTGTACTTGACGGTGTTCTATCAACGCTTACGCGAGGTCGCGCGGTGTATCGCGAGGCGTACAATTTGCACCTTTGTGTTGTTCTGAAACCAACGAATCGGAACGTGTAGTATTGATTGTCATGTTTCCGACCACTGTGGTACTGTCGTACCTGCGAATATTTTAATGCACCCGGTTTTCTTTGGGTACTGTGATCCGTGCCTCTTCAGGGCAAAAGTAAAGAAATTTATTATTGCCAATATTGAATGAAACACAGTTATTGCTTTTTTATGGCTGAGGCAACTTGCAAATATTAACAAAATGAGCCTTGCTGAAGATCCCTTCTGTCGTGAATGAGCTCATACGTTTGCTCACTCCCACGTGTTATTGGTATCTGACCTCGCGAGCGCGTGAAAGCAGAATCTCCTACTGACTGCAAGGTGACACTGGTCAGAAATAGATGGTTAGCAGATAAATATTCCAAAGTACAAGTCGGTTTTACTGTTAATTTTCACGCTAAGTGTTTCACTAAATACATTTCAATAAATTCAGCAGTCTCTGCAAAACGTCTACATGACTGGCAATTTAAAGTGTGGCTTCAGACAGCAGTCTCCAACTGTAGTCTCTATCTCTATACTTCAATCAGCGAGAAATGCTAGCCACCAGCTCTACATTTCAAAGCCTCTAAATCTACACAATTATATGTTTTCAATGTAAATGAACGTAGTAACTTAACGTGAAAGTTCTGTGAATTACGTTGTTAAATTTCAATCGAATATTAGATGACAATGCAGAATATTCGTTTTGGTATATTTTCCTACTCCGCTTGCTGTATAATTTTACAGTGGTTATAGTGGAACTGACACCCCTTCTCCAACGCCGTTTACTTTAGACAATGAACTGGAATAAATGTAAATAAGCTATTTTATTCACATTTTAATGCTAGGCGAAAATGTCGAATCGCAAGTGAGATCATAGGCAATGGAATGCATGCCGATAGATGGCATAACTCTCTCCCTCTCACCGCCCCTACTACCGCATTGCCTCTCACCCCAACTCGTGCCTCCCTTGTCCACTGCTCGGGGATCAGTCAAGCTCTCCATTTGCTCTGCACATGCTCACGACATTCCTTCGCGCTCCGCCTCTTCCGTGTTAGATTTAAAATAATCAATACTATTGCGCTCATTTTCACATGCTCCACACAAGGAGTAGTGAGTACTTAATCGGTTTTTTAAGATTTTGTACGAAACCCAAAAATACATCTCTGACTTTCGCTTGGCATTTTCAACAATACGGTTAAAATGAAATATATTCATGTCTCTCTTATGACGTTGTCCCCCATAGCGCAAGGGGCATTTTCATTCTTGAGCAGATGTTGTGATTTGTCACACGGTGACGTGTATGTCGTTAATGTGGTATTTCAATCTTTTTACTTCTCGCACTTCTATGAGAGAATGTATGTAATCGTTCAGCTGGAAAACGGCGAAATTCTCGACAGAAAACCCTGCTGGGCCATAGTAACGAAAAAGTTATGATGTAAATATGACACGTAGATAATCGGGCCGGTATCATTTTCGTTCAACATCCTTGAATTTTTTTCGAACATTGGCTCATTTCAATTTTTTGGCATAATTATTCTCAATTTTTCTGTTAATTATTGTCAGAATGTGCGTACACGCACTGTAACAGATGACAATACAATGTCTTTTCACTGAATTTTTTACTTAAAAAAAATATATCTCTGTCTTTGCTACGTTGTAAGATACATTATTTGCATTTTTAATACAAGGACAGTTAAATGATTTGGTATAAAGTTTCTTCAAAAAAGTCAAATGTTTATAAAATGAATATCAAACATGCAATTTCAGAAAGGTCTTTTTTCAACGACATGCTTTTCAATGAAAATGTGCATGTAAGGACCAGGTTTTTACTATTCTGTAATTTTCTAGATAGTTTTATTTCAATTCTGGAATTCAGGATCCGAAAAAACGGAGAAAAAGTGGGAGAAAAACTATTTCGCGCGAAATAGTTGACAGCCAACATCGACATGGGGCAAAACTAGAGATCCCTGACTGAAGGAATTGCAAGGCGATGTACGAGAATGTCTGTGCGATTCTGTTGCAATCACTAGTTTAATTTTAGGCTTATACATTTGTCTTAAAATCCATCCAATGTTTTAATAGTCAGCGTGATACCATCTGTCTTCCAAATATTGAATTTGTTGGGCAGGATGCTCTTAATACTTTCATATCTTCAAAACTTTTTTTAAAGTTAATTGGTGTCAATAATTTGTCTCCTTTTTTAGGCTACATTCTAGAGAGAAGATAAAAAACTACTAAGAAACATCATTTGCACTCAGATAAAACACCCAATTAATTTAACAAAAAATTGAATAGTGCAACACATCCTTGTTTTGTACACTATCAAAAGTAATAATATAAATTTGTTCAAGACATGTGACAATTATATAAAAGTAATATTTGTAAGAATGAGAGAAAAACAGGTGCTCATCCTTGAAGCTTTTGAGAATAGTTTTTTTGCGTCCATCTGTGCATGCGTGTAGACGTTTTGATATCTTTATATATTTTACCCTATTTCTTGTATCACAACACCTTTTAATTGGTCAACTTAGTAAGGGTTTCTTGAATAAAATTTTCTCTAATGAACCAATGATGGGATTAAAGTTAAGGGAGGTTTTCAATTGCTTTTGCACGTACCCTAAAAGCAACTGTTGGCAGTTATCAGCAGTGTACTTGGGAGTGATTATCTTGTTGAATAATATAATCGACCCTAAATGTGTTTTTTCTGTTTTATAACTTTTTTTCGAAGTATATCTAATTCTTCATAAATCATCGATTTTCTTCATGGTTCCAGCATCGTCAATCGCCAAGTACTCCCAAACGTGTCACACGTTCCGGATTTACGTATTTTCTCCATACGTTTTGGCACTCCTCAGAACCATGGAAGCTTCTTTTCATTTTATCCGACATAATAACAGTATTCCAGAATGTCGTGTCAGTATTTTACTCTCCGCGGAAAGTTAATTCTTGAGAGTTGATGTTCTCTACTTATGAATTGCCACTTCCGTGCCTATCTAACAAGATAGCTATATTTCCATAATACTAAACGAATTGTCGATGTTTTGTACTTATGCATTGTCTAGTGTGACAGTTTTGTTTTAGAAGTTCCATCATTATACTGATGCTCAGGGCATTACATTTTGGGCTTTTCTCACCTGCTTAACTAAGAAACGTCAATATGTTGTTTTTTTTTGTGCTTCTGTTCTTAGTCTTTGTTGAGTGTATTTAAACAGGGTTGTATCTGAACGTATTTAATACGAAGTTAAGTGTGGAATGAAGTTTATTAACTTCGCGACCAATTTCCCTCAGAGTAAACCCTTACAAATCAGGGTTACGTTCATTTCCTTCCACTTCAAGTTCTTTCCTCTTTCTCTCTTTTCACACCAAACCCCCTGAGCATGTTGGTGAAGACAGCGCCCAGGAAGGATGGCAAACATGAAGACATTGAGGTTGCGAAAACCCAGCATCGTGTGCAAACAATAATTCACTCTTAAGTGTCAGCGACAAGTTGATTTTTGCGATTTCTCGTGTTGCTTTTTATGCATGAAGTTAATCTTTCTCATTTTTGGCAATTTTAACTATTATAATTGTTTGTTATAGGCCTTTTATTTCTTTTACCTGTGTTATTTTTATCTTTATCATTCGCTTCCTCATTTTGATTGTGAAAGGCATTATCACTATTCTCTGAAATTATTTGAAGCCACCAAAAAAATGCATGTGTATCTGTGCCCTTCATTAACGAGTTTTTTTTGTGTGTATGATGTATTGATTTTGACACGTAATTGCGTTTGCCAAGAGAAATGCAGAGGTAACGCTTTCGTAGGGAGAGTGCAGGCGGTGACATTGAGGAAGGAGTGCTCTTCTTTGCCCTGAAGTGATGATGCCGATCTGAAAGTGTCTATATTTTACTTTCTCGCACTTACTAACATAAGAAGAGAAAGTGTTATGTCTTATTATGAAAGTATTACGCACCGGAAAACGGCGAATTTCTGACACAAAAACTCTTATTGCCGGGCCTTGGTTACGAAAAAGTGTTTAAATCCAGTTTCTAACTTTGGAAGAAAAATCCTGTAAGACATGGCGGTATTCCAAAACTGATATTCCCCAATCGTTTCAGCTGATATCGCGGCCCCTGGAATTTTAAACCGATATTTTAATTTTGGGGGTACTTTACCTAAAGCCCTCGGACATTTTCAAAATTTTCAAAAAAATGACCCCAAATGCTTTGATTAAATAATGTTGTGAAGAGTGCAAAGGACGTTTAAGAGAATGGTGGAGGTCACATTTTTCGTAGATATTCTCGATTTTTTGCGAAAACTGGGAAAATAAATTTAAAACTTCAGTATTAAAGATGGAGATTTTTTATGTCAGACAAAGTCTGATGTACAAAATTAGCTCTTTAAAAGTGTCTTGTACAATTTTTTTGAAAAAACGAGTAGTATTTGTGTATTTTTTGGTTGAAATGTGCGATTTTTTTCTCAAAAACCTCTTCAAATTGTTTCTTTAAATTTTCTTCACGTATGTAATGAAACACAGTGAAAAAATAGGGTGCCATTTTCAGTATCGCTCGGTATAGTCTCTTTTTCGGGTATCTCTCGGTTTTTTGAAAATTAAAAAAAAAATACAAACTTGAAGGTAGATATTTTGGCCTCAAAGTCTGTTGTACAAAAGTTGCTTCTTAAAAATGGTCATGCTCGATATTTTGAAAAAAGAGTAATTTTTGCGTTATTTCAACTTGAAATCAAGGAAGTATACACAAGATTCACACTAACTACGGGCCACGATGTTATGAAACATTATTCATTTAATTTAAATTTAATTTACTATTGAATATGCCAGTTTTAATTCATCTTGATGAGATAATCGGACTCTGCGGAGGCCATTGAAAGTTGTTTATAAATGATAGGTGGAACTAGAAGCAATTGAGGTGGCATGAATCATCGAATGAAAGCTTGTAGTGATATTGAAATGATCTTCTGGTAAAGTAGGTATTTTTGCTTAGCAACCGCAGTGTAAGAAGCATCCACATACGTGCCTTTTGAAGTTGTGGACGGGCCAGAAATCGTAGTCGCGAGGTTTGTTTGGGCGAAGGCGTCGCCCGATAAGATTGTTTTGGGCGCCGCGGGCCCGACTGGACGGCGATAGCTTCCCGCGCTTAGGCTTCCTTCGCGAGCGCCGGCTCGGGTTGTACTATGCACTGTGCACGGGCCGGGCCACTGCTTGCGCATAACCAGCGCAGCGCCTCCGCGCGTCCGCGGGGAATCCCGGCCACGGCGTCTCTACTAACGCGAGCTTACTACGCGGGAAACCCCGGCGCCCGGCCTCCATTCACTCGCGCCCCCGCCCCGCCCAGCCGCCCGCAACCACGGACGGCTGCGAATCCCGCCCCCCCC